GCCCTCTTTTCAAGCAAGAGCCTAGCCACATCTATTGCGTCATAAGTACAGGCAACTTGCAATGCAGTCCCAAAACTTCCACCTTGGATATTAGGGTCTGCCCCTTTATCAAGTAAGAGCCTAGCCACATCTATTGAGCAACAAACACAGGCAGCTTGCAGTGCAGTCCCATGTTGTCCACCTTGGATATTAGGGTCTGCCCCTTTATCAAGCAAGAGGCTAGCTACATCTATTGAGCCACAATCACAGGCAGCTTGTAATGCAGTCCCATAATGTCCACCTTGGATATTAGGATCTGCCCCTTTATCAAGTAAGAGGCTAGCTATATCTATTTCGCAATAAACACAGGCAGCTTGCAATGCAGTCCCAAAACGTCCACCTTGGATATTAGGGTCTGCCCCTTTATCAAGCAAGAGGCTAGCTATATCTATATCTCTTGCGCCGCGAGCACAGGTAACTTGTAATGCAGTCCCATAACGTCCACCTTGGATATTAGGATCTGCCCCCTTTTCAAGCAAGAGGCTAGCCACATCTATTGCGCCGAAAACACAGGCAGCTTGTAATGCAGTCCCATGATGTCCACCTTGGACATTAGGATCTGCCTCCGCATTTAACAGCACCTCTACAACCTCAACATTGCCACTATAAAATGCAGCCACTAATGGGGAGACAAAATTTTTATCGATGTCAATCGGGGGAATGTTTAGGTCTACGCTCGGCTGTTGACCAAGCACTATACCCAATAGGTCCCGCAATCCTAACCGCGAAACCCAGGTTACTGGCTGCAGCTGGTGAGGTGAGCCCCTAATTTGACGGCTAGTACTGCGTGCATAGGGAACGATGATACTTTTAGGTCCATTCGGGGGCTCAAGTTTCGATATATCGATGGTGGAACGTAACAAACGCCAAGGAAGAGAATCGTATACGAAAAGCCTTATGGCTAGCTTCTGAAGACATTCATCGAATTTCTGCCCTAGGGATTCGAGATGGTAGAGATGGTAGGACCAGGATCTTGCGACATAGTTCAGCAACGGAAAACGGTCATATAACTCGTATGTGAGCCTGGGACGTTGGTTTCCAGCATATATCAGATATGCAAAACACATCCTCGCGATGGCGTAGTGTGCTGGTATCTCTTGTATAGCATATCGTAATGTTGGCCCTTTGCCAAGGCGTTCCGATAATAGATATTCCTTGACTGAGAAATGCGCAAATTGGACCGACTTGGCCCAATAACTATCAATTTCGCCATCCCAGAGATCGGGGGCCACAGGGTTGCCAATACCAGTGACGAGACCAGATGGAAGTATTCCAAGAATATCGGAGGATCGCATGAACCGGTCTTCTTCCACAAGACACGGCTCATTCTCTGGCTGAACGACCATCGCTTCCGCAAGCTCGTCTAACGAAAGGGGCCTCGACGCCAATGCAATAAATTGCAGGGCGCGAAAAGCGTGCTCTTGATATTCCTCATCGATATCGAGAAGAATTCTGTCATAGAATGTGTCGAGAGTCTTTGGGAGTTGGGCTATTGCAGTCCGAATTCTGGATTCGGTTTTCAATTTGCTCAATGCATCTAGCTGAAGTGCAACGAGTCGAAACCTATAAGCGTTAGTCGACAATCGACTCGAAGTGAAGAACCATATCCGTCGAGAGGGAGTGATTGAAAGTAACTCTAGATATGGCATCTTTATCTATAATATATATATTGCTGACGGTGCTCGTGACAGAGCATATGTAGTCAGCCTCAGCTGATAACACTAGTCGAAACAGCGCATAAAGTGGCCAGCCAAGCTATTAGCGGCTGTTCATCACGAAGCCATATCTATAGCTTCGAGGAAGACTAACAATCTATGCCGCTCAAGAACCTCTAGTTTAAAATATGTTTTATAACCTTGTCCTGAGACACGTATGTTTTTCGAGGACCTCCTAGGGTGTGCCCAAAACCACAAGGATGGGAGACGTACTCGAGTAGGCATATAAATCAGAATTTGACTTACATTCCATCTGCCTGTGAAGCTAGCTTTGTCTCTATATCCCGTTTCAGTGGAGGCTTCCACGTCCGAAAAGCGCCCGCTTCAAGTCGATGCCCAAGGTACTTCTTAATATCCCTTTCAACATGAATGCCCTGCACAGAGATGGCTTGGAACCGGCCCGACTGGTGTAGGAAAGAATCAAAGGATTCTGAAATGTCGACCTCACTCCTACTGGTGGCTAAAATATGTAGCTGTGCTAGTTCCCAACCAAATATGTCATGAATACAGTCCAGAAGGCTGCATCTACTGTCGTCTGATTTCGGGCATTCGTCCAGGGCGTCCAGAACCAAGTAAACACTGTCAAGGCCAGCCATTACTTCCTGCAGCATTAGCAGCAGGCTCTTTCTGTTAGGTATATGCTGGCCAGAATTTGATCGCTCATATTCTTCCCGGACAGCAATGGGAGTATCTCGCCGGTTCCTATATATACCTGCAACTAGCGAGCGTAGACAGTTGTGTATATTTTGCTTCTCGGTGTTCGCAAAAGTGAAGTACCAATAGACAACAACCGCAAACGGATCATTTTTACATCGCCCTTGAACATGGTCAATCACCGTGGAACTACAGGAAATCAGCAGCTGGAGCAATTCCAATATATCGAAAGACCTACCACAAGATAGATTTTCCAGCGCCAGCTAGAATCAACATCAGCATTATTACCATTAGACACGTCCAAGGAAAATGACGAGTAGTCGATCGGAAATCTTACCGCCGCCGTTCAGCCATAAAAATGAGTTGTCGTCAACGAGCCAGCTCTTACATTCATTGCTATCGATAAGCCATGATCCAGTAGTCTCTTCGTGCCTTTCTCGGGCTAAGTTGTGCTCCTCTGAGGGGTGAACGCCTGGTTCTAACCAAGATATAATTTGTTTCCTGAGTTCATCATCTCCAGCAGATACAATCTCCGACCTTATATCGGCAATGATGTCAAATTGTGCATTTATAGTGGATCTAAGGGCGGACATTAGCTAAGTCCTATAATAAAAATAGGCTGAACGGAACAAATTGTCCCCAGACAAGCACCGGTACCCTTTGGACCAGAGGTATGGTACATGATGGTTATATGTCACTTCAGAAAAACTCATTATATGAACTGTTCTTACAATTGCTCAATTCCAATCTCAAGGCCTAGACTGGATTTACATCGATCAAGCGTTTCCAGAATCTTCCCGACTTCCTTCTTGGAGAACGGCCAAGTCAAAGACTGAGTTTTCTCCCAGAGTGTACGTTTATTCTCTGGGGCATGTTTTGGACGAGAAGGGTGACACTACAAAGTTCATTAGACAATGCCTTGGAAATTCCCAGACATCAAGAATCACTCAATCAAGCTGAGGTATTGGGGAAATGTAAGAAAGCAGATGTTTCAACTCGGTAGAGATATTCCAAGCTGGTTGACTCACCGGCGTGCGACTCTTGTTATCTGTCAAGGTTGGAATCTTCAACTTCTTCTCTAATAGTGCAATTTCAGATTGGGCTTGGCTGAGAACACCCGATGTATCGTCCGAGAGGTGGTCTCCACGGTTGACGTCTTGAATCCGTTTAAGCAGGCTATTGAGACCGTTGATTGATTCATATAACTTCTGGATATCATTCCTGGCATCACGAGCCCCTTCGTAGTAGGCTTTTAGCGCAGAACCGACGGAGACTGTGAGTTGGATCACGGCGAAAACGCCCGCCGTGGTACTGAGAGGGTCCATACGTGCTCGGTTGTTCTTGTTCTACGCTCAGGACCTGCACGGGTTCTGCCCTCTTGGTGTGTGGACTCCAGGAAAAATCGTGTTGGTTCGGGGGAGGCTATGGAGAAAGGCTAGGCATCCTTGGGCGCTTTAAGATGGGCATCCACGACGACCGATAGCTGTGCTGTTCGGCTCAGCCTTATTTCTACGCTGTATTCCGGGACGCTGATTGGTACCCAGTGGCCGGGGTTCCGGTCGCTGCGTAAGAGTTTCCAGGTACAAGCACGTAAGTACTCAAGTACTTACCAATGGGGAGGCTAAACTACGGGGTGTCAGAAGTTTCGCTCGAGCTTCATCTTCATCCCGAGGTAGGTAGGTATTCTTCATTTAAGGGTATTCGCGTCGGTTGGGACTTGGGAGGCCGGGCAGAGAATGAGATGCCAACTGGGTCTTTAACTCGTTAGAGTGTTTTTAAAGGCGACCGAATTGCGGGCGATACCTAGTCGTGCCCAAGTGCGTGAAGACGCGGGCGAGCCCGTCGACGGACCGCTCCGTAATCGCGACTAAATAGCGTGTCGAATTGGGCCTAGGTGTTGACACAAAATACCAAGTACCGCTAGATGTCATGGAGAAGATTCCGTTCGTGTCGTGACGGTCTCAAGTACAGCCAAGAGAAGGATTGGCGCAGGGGAGTTTACACTTACTATCCACGACATTTCCAGGATAGCGACATGCACAGCACGTTGTAGTTGGTCAGCTTTTTCTCTGAGCCAGTCCCCCATCCAATTCTATTGAGGTACATTACGAGTACGATATGTGTACTCACCACACCTGCCTTTTGAAATATCAACGTCTTTTTGGTCACCTGACCCTCTGTTGAACAAAGTCGAGCGGATCGGGTTGAAACCTTCAGGATGAAATACAATACATTTAAGAGAATCTGATCACTCCGATTTTATAAGTTAAGGAAGTGGCATTCTAACTTTGCGGTGATACAAGATGTATTTCATGTCACGTGCATTCACTATTTTTGGGGGAATTTGAAACTCAACCAAGATTTCACAGAGTCATCAACACCACAAATCTAGAGTTTATATCCACGCCTGTTTAATCCTTTAGAATATAAGCTACCAATCGCTACTTCCTTCCCCCTTACACCGAGTGGCAGATGATGGAAATACAAAAGCCCGGGACGCCGGTCATCCCATGCCAACCCCCACCATGCCGGTATTAGCCTATCCACAACAAGCTTTGTGGAGGCTGGAGGACTCATATATTATATATATTGTGCTCACCGGAACGTCCACTGAAGTGGCAGGTTCGAGTCTTACCCATTCCCCTGCTTCCCTCACTTCGTGCCACCGTAACATTCCGGTGCAGGCATCTCGTTGGCCAATGTTGATCACACTTGTATCTACATGGGCGCTAAGCGGAAGGTCGATGGTGCGAGATGCATCATCGGCACATCAATTAAGGCGACCGGACGCGCAGCTGCATACGGCAGCTATTTGACTATTACTGTATCGCTATCATAGTGTTGGCCGTGCATGTAATGCTATCAATATTGATATTACTAGAGACGGTAGGTGGTCAGCGAGGCCATGCGAGGCATTTTAAAAGTCCTTCATATCTTGTCTTTTCCTCGCATTCCAACCACAATTTGATTCTCCCACGTTAACCTTCAATCTTTTAGGGCTCCTGCCAATCCACTCCTACATTAAGCTTCAATTGATTCTCATATCTTCTCAATCTACAATCAATTGGCATCTCACTTCACTTCCCAGTTCTTGAAGCAACGATGATGCCTCAATTGAACCACATCCTAGCGTGCCTAGCACTATTGATTCTCACTCTCACATCGCAAGGCCATGGACTCATACCGGATCCAAAGCGAGATAACCGCCCCGAAATGCGAGGGAAAAGCTCGATTGTCAAACGAGATGGCGTTGACCATAATATTTTCGAGCATGAAGCTACTGGAGCCAAGCTTGACTTTGTAAAGAACTCTGGCATCTGTGAGACAACTCCTGGTGTGAATCAATACTCGGGATATGTCTCTGTTGGCAGTAAGCTAAATCTCGGCGTCTGCTCACTTCCCTTCATGAGCGAGGTAGATGGCTAGAGAATCTTGCTCACAATGTTTACTTGTCTTTAGAAAACCAGAGTATGTGGTTCTGGTTTTTCGAAGCACGCCATAACCCGCACAAGGCACCTCTGGCTCTCTGGCTAAATGGAGGACCGGGATGCTCATCAATGATTGGGTTATTTCAGGTAAGTGTTTATGGAACGTCTCTCTCACTCTCCTCTTTCGGATATACTTTAATTTTGCCAATATCTAACAGCTCTCTCTTACAGGAACTTGGACCTTGCACATTCAAAGGCAACTCCACTACCCCATCCCTGAACCCGCATAGCTGGAATGAATACGCCAACATGCTTTTCGTGGACGAACCCATCGGTGCGGGTTTCTCCTACGGAAGTCAATCAGTGAACACCTCAGTAGCCGCTGCTCCATTTGTATGGAATCTCATGCAAGCCTTCTTCGCAAATTTCGAACAATACAAGAACCGCGAATTTGGTCTCTTTACGGAATCTTATGGCGGGCATTACGGACCGGGTAGCCCTCCAACACTTTCCCCTACGCAATCCCCATTACGAGTCCATCCTAACAAACTAACAGAATTTGCATCCTACTTCGAATCACAAAACAATGCCATCTCCAACGGTGATGTCACCGGCCAACCCATCAACCTAGTCGCCCTCGGAATCAACAATGGCTGGTACGATGCCTACATCCAAGAAATCGAGTTTATAAACTTCAGTCTCAGCAACACCTATAAGCCATTGATCAACAGTTCCCTTGCCGCCCAATATAAGGCCGAAATAACCGCGGGCTGCCTCCCAGTACTCAAGAACTGCACTACCATCTCAGGGCTAGACGCTGAATGCTTCGCCGCCCATGAAGCCTGCGGCACCATCGATAACAAATATAGCGACTATTTCCCGCAGGATGTTGATTGGTATGACATCCGCCAACCGGCCAGTTCGCCGTTCCCGCCGTCGACGTATTTGAATTACTTGCAGGATCCGAAAGTTATTAAGGCTATTGGCGCGAAGAGCAAGTACTCGGAGTGTTCAGATGATGTGGCTGCACAATTCAGTCTTGCTGGTGATTGTACGTTCCCCCTTCCCAAGCCTTACAACTCTAAACTCACGTGCATTCCCCCTAGCATCACGATCCTACCTCCCCACGCTCTCGGACCTTGTCTCCTCAGGCCTCCCAACCCTCCTCTGGGCCGGCGACGCAGATGCCGTCTGTGACTGGTTTGGAGGCTATGCCTGCGTGAACAGCATATCCTACCGGCACTCATCAACCTTCAAAAACAAAGCCCTAACAAACTACACCGTCAACGGGGCCGTCGGCGGGACGTTCAAGACCGTGGGAGACCTAAGCTGGATCCGCGTGTTTGACTCGGGACACATGGTACCGGCTTTCCAGCCCGAGTTGGCGTTTCAGGTTTTTAAGCAGTTGATGAGTAAGGGAACTGTTTGGGCTACGTAGGGGGTGGAGGTACTTTTATGGCTTCGGGTCGATTGCTATTAATTAGGTGGGTTTAGCAAGTTTAGACAAGAGATCATATAAGACTTATGGGATGGAATAGAGCACTACCCAGGCATCACGCTCTATCTTTAATCCCCGACCATGATAGACCTCACGTGCACTGAGGTTATCTGTAGGTAGTACAGTATCTCTAAAAAGTCCACCTATACCTGCCCCTTGTCAAACCCCCATCAAAACCCCAACCACCATCCGAAGAGTCTTGAACTACGTAGTACTGAGGCACCTAAGTAGAACGAACAAATGAATCCCTTTGACAAACGAAGCTCACGGCATATGTATCACAGCATCTGGTCATTTCATGAAATCTTATAATCTTGCATTCAGATATCTGGTCTACAACAACATCAGGGTATCAACGTATCAAAGGATCCCTCTGCTATATATCTTGTGTAGTACTCGCAAAAATCTGAAAACAAACTTGCTATCTCTCGCTCATGATCAAGCAAATCCTCCACGGTATCTCATCCATTCATCCCCGGTGACTTAAATGTCATATCCGCAGCCCCCCCCCCTAATGCAATTACTACCAAACGCCTCCAAATGCCAGCTCGAAATAAACCGGGGGAGCATTAATCCTCAGCGCGCTTACGCTCTTAAAACACCAGGTCAAATAAAAAACATTCTTTTGGTCCATCCACCCCATCGCTATGCCCAACCGGAACCCCACAGGAAAAGCAAAAAATAGAAGAACAAAAATTCAGAGACAGAGTAAGAAAACGCCCAAAACACCAGTTTGATCAAGATCCGCGCTTATGCTTGCTTTATTCGTCATCGCCATCCGTGGCTGTATCGTCGTCATCAACATCGACATCGTCGTCTTCATCGTCGTCCGCGCTCTCATCGTCGTCATCCTCATCTTGATTCAGGCCCGGAACACCCTTCCACTGGACGTAATCATCCTCAACCCAGCGCTTGCTCATGGGCAGCTGGTACGGATCAAATGGGAAGTATGCGTCTAGCTGATGCCAGCTTTCCTTGTTGCCGCCGTCTCCTGTATCGCGCAGCGCGCCAGCACCTCCAGCGGTGGAGAACTGGCTGAGGCGGATCCGCTTGTTGGTCTCGAGGAGTGGGTAGACGTACATGAATCGTAGATGGTGGGCGATCTGAGCGAACTGGGCAACGATGGGTGGAGAGCAGATTTTGAGTGGGTTGAGCTTGGAGTAAATGGCGTTGTGGAGGGTGTCTCTGATTCCGGGCGTCCACTCAAGGTCTTGGCTCAAGAATGCAATCGGATCGTCGTCCTCCAAGATTTCGTTGGATGTAATAAGGTCGCGCCATCTGAAGCAAAAGATATACAACAGGGCTTGCATCATAGCATAAAACGTACTATAGCGCTTCAAGTCCGGTCCGCGGCAGGCAAGCTCATTCTCGGCCCGGATTTGCTCGAGGTTATTTCCAATGAGCTCGAAAACCGTTCGAACGACGTGAGGTTCAACATGAGCACCGCGCGCAACAAAGCTGGCTAGGTAAGCTGCTGCTGCTTGCTTAAGAACCGCGGGTCGACCCGATTCGAATGCTAGCTGGACGCAGGTACCTGCGAATTGGTCGACAAGATGTTCGGCTGTCTGCGCGAAATGGAAGAGGAGGAATTGAGTATGGCGAGAACGATAGGTTGGAAGGATTATGTTGGCGAAATGGGAAAGGAGAGTCTCGAACATTGAGGCGGCTTCGATGCTATTTGGGTCCGTGAAGTAGGGGGTGTAGATTGTGAAGAGCAGATCAAGTATGGCATCCATCTTCTCAACATTGGCTTGAACCTCCTTGATTTGTTTGGCGTCGCTGTTGAATTCCTCCTCGCTTGTAACCGATTCCGCATCGCTATCCGAATCTTCCGGGTCTTCTTCCTCAGTTGCTTGCGGGTTGAGAGTGATTGCTTGGACGATGGCAGCCGTAACCTCATCGTCGATATTGTCGAGATCCCTCTGCATTTGTACATCGATTTTGACAAGTCGGTCGGTGATTAGGGCGAAGACCTCAGACTTGAGCTCATGGGTGTACTCGATAAGGCGGACGAGGTTCTCGATGTAGTTGATATGCGACTTCTTGGAATCTTCAGCAACCGGGAATGTATTGGCAAGTATCGCAGGGAGTTTCCCGCTGGCAGAAGGTATAAGCTTAAGCAGGTATTTGAGCGCGACATGGACCCTGGAGGCGAGCTGATTCCGGTTGACGTCAGGATAACCCGCAAGACGACCGCTGGATAGGCGTACTGTACTACACGTCAGAAAATGCTATTCATAAAAGGATGGGTAATTCTTACCTCCGGCGAAGTTATCCACCAGCATCCCAAGCACCATGCCAACATACGCACCTTGCGCACTAGCCAGACTGCCCAGAAAATGGACATAAGCCTTCACGAACGGCTCATCCCTTCCAATCCAATCACACTGAACGACCGCCTTCACCAAGCTGGCGCATTTATTATTCAACAGCGACGTGTATCTCGTGAGCGCAATCAAATAGGTCCTAATCTCGGCCCTCGCCTCAGCCTCAGTCTCCTCATCCAGCTCGCCTTCATATTTGCTCGGCGCGAACACCAGCCTGACAGTCTCATACGCCTCGCCATCTCCTCTCAAATAGCCCTCGATAGCCCGCCGAACCTCCACTCGAATGGCCTCCAAGCCCCTGCCCTGGACATTATAGCGAGCCATGACCTTCTCCTCAACGTTCGGATTGAAGGTGACACGCGCCCTCTTCGTTGGGCTCGGCGGTGCAGACGTCATCAAATCCGAATCAAAATCCGTATCATCGACCTTGCGCACTGTGCCCGAGAGAGTCGCCCGTCGGAGAAGTGGTTTGCTGGGCTTCGACGCAGCGGCGGGGATAGGCGCCCGCAGCGCAGGCACGAGTCCGACCATGGATGCGACGGGGGCGAGTTAATCGCTGGACTGGAGAGCGCTGGGAGTTATCATCTGTCGAAAAGGATAGTCGTGGATGTTGGGGTTTGGTCGTAGAGAAGGTGGTGAGGTGGTGAGGTGGCGATGTTGAGCTGGAAGTTGGTAAATTGAAGGTCAGTGTCGTGTGCGCGTCTATAAAAATTGTAGAATTTCAGTTTCGACACTGAAGAGGGGTCACGTGGACCCCGCTCCATTCATTTCGCCGAGGATCACCCGCCCCGCATTCTATTTTTTGACATGACTCTAGTTTGTGTCTTGGATCCAGACCATTGTAATATGATTCAATGCTTAAGAAAACCTCCAATAAGTTAATAAATAGTCAACATTTAAAGTTTTAACCCATTGACCCTCCAATCTCAACCCCCATACTCCTAGAGTAAGAAGCTAGCACGCATACCCTTTTTACCACATATATTCCATCTCCCCTAGTGCCTAACTCATAATGGATGCCTCCATATCCCTCTTCCTAGGGACGTATAAAATAAGAAGGGCTATGCATACTACGGTAACTCCTTATACATCCACCTTTCTCTGCTACAATTGAAATTATACGGCCGTTTAAGTTAATGGTATCAAGGAGGGGTAGAGTACAAGGCGAACAGACGCACTAGTACCGACGCGTTGTTATAAGCAAATCTAGAAACAGAATGGCCACAATACAATGTATAGTATTAATACATTGCCAATTGTTATCTGGGACCGTGTATCCTACACCTGCTACCACTCGGCCGCCCAGAAGATCATCCCCATCCCCAATCTTCAATCCCTTCCACTTCCACTAGCCCCAGGCTAATTGAATAGTATACCCCTTCTTACGAGCCAAAGAAATCTAAAGAACACAAAACCAAGCACGCACGCCCGTACTTTTTGACCTGTTTCTTTCATATACAGTCCCCTGGTATATCCCGGTTCAATTTCCTCCATTCTCCCAACCCATCACCCGGAATCCCGAGATCTTACCCTACTTAGTCAATACAGCCAAAGAAAAAGAACCGTTCTTGTTCATCCCATCACCGTCATCGCCAACACAACACCGATACGCCCACATATTTGACCGAATCAAACACCATGATAGCTACTTAATAGCCGTCGCCGCCTGCTGAGCCATTATGTCCAGTTGGGACTTGGCCGCCGTACAGACTTCCGTGGAAAGCAGGATCGTGTTCGCCACCCTCCGCTTGCGGGCCACCAAGAATGTTGTTGTTTCCTTCAGCCGCGCCTGCAAAGTTGGCTGACGAGGCCGCATTTTGGGCCCCGCCTGGCGCACCTGTCGCCCCATAGCCTTGGCTGCCGGGTCGATTCTCGCCTCTTGTCGATTGAGTCTATGAGATTGGTCAGTTCTGATTCGCTCGCATTGGACGACAGGAATGTCGCGGTAACTCGCTCGACGTCGAGTATACTAATACTTACTTCTCGGTATTTCGACAAATAGATCTTTAATGCCTCTGCATAGTTCTCGAAACCTAAAGAAGTCATGGCGAATAGGATATCTTCGCCATTAACCGTCTTTCGCTTCTCTTGGTGGCACTTCTCAGAGGCTATATAGAAAAATATCAGCGACTGTCAATAGGAGGTCTAAACTCGCAACATGACATACCTTCACTTGTGATAAATGAGATGAACTCGCTCACACACTCCTGCATGCACTCTTTGGCTTCCTTTGCAATCTTTGCATTATCGGGAAGGGCGGTTTTCATGATCCGGGCCACTGGCGCAAAGTTACGAATGTTAGCGTCAGGATAACCATCATGCTTCCCGCCCTTGGACGAGTGAGGAGCGTCTGAGGACGGAGACGGGGATGGAGACGAGGATGGGGATGGGGATGAAGACCGAGACGGAGAGGGGGAGGGAGAAGCGCGGGCCATGATAGGACGTATGGCCGCGGGTGACACCATCAGACTTCTCAATGACTGGTCGTATAGTAGCACATGCGCGTGTAATAGGCACCGCACGATGGTCAGAAGCGATGCCACTCGCGGCGAGCCTCAAGATGCGGAACAATAGCGAATGGTCTGCGGGGGAAGGCAGGCAAATCAGAAAGAGGATATTCAGGACTAACCATTTGCTATCGGAAGCCACCTATCCTGCTCCTTTACCTCGAACTCGTAGCCCAGTCCCGAGGCATGTGGGTCTTGAGGGTCGTTCATCTGGTCGTTTTCCGGCGATGCCACAGCATCTTCCTTTGGGGGACTCGCTGATGCTGCAGACATGTCGACTATTTATTTTATCGGATAGGTGCAGAGCTTAGATGTGGCTTTTCTGGAAATTCCTTGGACGACACGTATACACGCAGTGATGCAGAGCGGAGCGTAGATCGTCTAAGCAAACGCCTCCTTTGGCAACCTGCACCATCCAGATCTGGCTGAAGTCCGATGGGGAGGAGGAGGAGGGCAAGGGGTCAGGGCTGGGTTTGGGGAGTTGGTTGGGTGCAAATGGATGGAATGGGTGTAAGGGGGGGCAAAGGCTAATGCAAGTTTACCAACGTTACTTGGAGCTCGTAATCGTCAGAGGGCTGTGGGAGGAGGGTTTTTTCTTTCTCAAGGCTTCTAGCTAGTGGAACTGCAGGTATGCGTAAAAGGAATCAGCCTGGGGGGTGTCCACGAAGGGAGGGAGGGAGCAGGAAGTAGAGGGAGCAGAGGGAGCAGGAAGCAGAAAGGGAATAGCAGGACAGGGCAGGGCAAGGCAGAGCAGGGAAGGGCAGGGCTGTCGCCGTACATACAGTAGCTTCGAAACCGGAGAGTATTCTGAGGGTTTTGAGGGCGTGGATGTGGATGCGAACGCGGATGCGGGATGCAGACACAGACACAGATGCAGAGGCGGGTGTGCGTTGAGGGTCAATTGCATGAGCAGGAGCATGAGGATAGCATCAGCTGGGAAACGGGGGGGATCTGCTGTCGTCGCGGGATCAGAACGTGGGGTTGAACTGTGACGCGGTATGTGTATCTGGCGGTGGGTTTGGAGAGTCGCGGTGTCGTGGTCGTGGTGTAGTGTGTTGTAGTGTCGTAGTAGTGTAAATAGTAGTGTGATCGAGTAGGAGCGCCGCGTGGGTGGAGTAGAGTCGCCGGTGATTAGAGTAGACACGGAGCGTGCGATGCGATGCGATGCGATGCGACACGATGCGATCCGCAATGCGCGATGCGCTCGCAGTCAACAAACACGGCAGACTCGATCTTCGGCCTCCTTCGACAACTCTCACGTTCACTTCCAATGGACGATAGTCGGTGAGCAGCAGCAGCAGCAGGGCGCAGACGACGTTTGGATGAATTGGTGCGATGCTGTACTTCGCACTGTACTGAGACTGTGCTGTAAAGACCCCGTTGCAGGTGTGACAATAACAAGAATAAGGTAATCAGGTAAGAATCGCAACGGCAACGGCAGCGGCTCGGTCAGGCACGATGCCGGAATGCGCTGCAGCCTGCTTTAGCTTTGGGCTTTGGTTTCGGGGGCGCCAGCTATGAGGGAGCGGTGTGAGGGTTTGGGCCTTGCTTGGGGGGGTTGTTGCGTGGTGGTGGTGGTGGTGGTGCGCTTGGAGTCTTGGTTAAGGGTCAATTGCTTTGTTCGGGTCTTTGTTGTTGTTGTTGTAAACCGGCGGACGAGCGACGATGAGACGAAGAGACTAGGTGGATCTACACGACAGTGCAACCTGCAGTGAGTACAGCTTACAGCAGTAGTGTACTGTAGCAGTGTTTACTCTCGGGATAGCTATGCGCCTGTCGTCTCAAGGCTCCGGCGTATGCTTATTTGCAGTGAAAGGCTTACACTTGGTAGAGACAAAGACTGGTCCTCGTAATTTGCGAATGCGCTCCAATGAAGAAAATGAAGCTGGACAAGAGCAGGAACGGGGTCTTCTGTTGGTGGAGGGGGAATGCAAATGCAGCCATTCATCCATTACGACGTGCTCCTCCAGCCTGTCAGCGTCAATTCACCCGGCCAGCCATCAGCAGACCAACCTATCATGTCGGTTACAGGCACAGTCGCTCTCGTATTGGATGATAGGATGGCTGGATGATTATTGGCAGATTACTATCTGTACGTTCGCACACGGTAGATGCTTTGCCGTGGGCAACATACCAGCTTCTCGTCTCAGATACAGACGGATACAGCTATGGATAGAGAGAGCGGGTTGGGTTGGGTTGGATTGGGTTGCCAACGGGGTGGACGTATGTAGGTAGTATATCCCGTCTCACTTCATGCCTAACCAAGGTCTAGGTAGGTAGGTAATGATGAGTGAATAAATGAATCACACGGCATTTGACCATTTTGCTACTCGGCCTACGATATCAGTGTCCCTGGTGGAGGGAGACGTTGGATTTACCTCTTTGCTCTCACCACTCACTCACTCCCTCCAGACTCAGACTCCTCCCCGAGTCCGCAGAGTGCAAGCCAGTTCGATCTCCAATGACCAAAAAAGCTGCGAGTTTCCAGCAGCTTGTCCTCCCACCAGGCAGTCCGCATCTGCTCTGCATCTTCCTGCGTCTGCATCTGCATCTGCAAGGCGCAATGTTACATGTACCAACTGCGTACGCCCTCATGAAATCGTGATAAGGGGGGTTCGGCCAACACATCGCGCTTCAACTACGAACCTCAGCCGGCCGCAGCCCCTCGTCCGCACAGCCCTGACATGATAGGGCATCAGTACATGACGGCCAGCCTTTCCTGTTGGGCCCCGAAACGCAGCAGCCGCCGCCGAATGACCGCGGGCCTGGCACTTCTCGTGGCTGTACAACGCATCAATTTTTCCCAGGAGTCTGGGTATCAATAATCTTTCCCATACCATCCGATCCGTGTGTGCGTTGTGTGACGTCGTTTGGGAAACAGGAAAATAAAGGTACTCGTGCTGAAGCTCGGGATACACTGTATATTTTTGCCTGGCCGGCCCTGGCATGGCGGGAGTCGTATTTTTATTATCATTATCGGGCAGGAATGCTGCCCTTCCCTCCTCCCCGGGTGTCACCTCTCTCTTCCCCGCGACGAGACGGAAAAGTAGGCAGAGCGTACATAGATTTTTTTTTCTTTCCATCCGCCGATATCACCGCCATATACCCCAAACTCCATACTTTACCGCAGTTTCTTGCGAATATCCCTTCAACTCCACAACACCGCTCCGCCCAATGGGAAATGCCGTCACTAGTATGGGAATACAGCACCGCCCACGTGTCTCTGCAGCCCAGCCCTGATGCTTGATAATCATTAAGCCATCATTCCCATAGTCGATCCCTGGCCTTGGTAGATTTAGGGCTGATATCAAACCACCCCAACATCCCCCGTCAACCGGGTCTTCAGTTGGCAACAACCTGAATATTATTCTTCTTCTACACATCCAAGGGCAATTAGCACAGGACATCCCCCCTCAAAGTAGAAACAGAATTATCCATACCTTCCAAGTCTCCATCTCGGCCTGCTTACTCCGATACTGCTTCATAAGCTCTTCCAGCACCTTCTTCAAGCCCTCGGAATTTGTTTTCAGCGCCGGCACGACATCTTTCACCGTCCGCTCCACCAGCACACCATTAATCATCCGAAAGCACTTGCGGTCCGCCGGAAGGGGTTCGAGAGTTTCCAGAACAAGTCTGTGGACAGGAAGCGGTGAGTTAGCTTACCGGCGGTGAAGGAGGGGATCGAGCTATACAGCTTTTGGGGGTGGGCTGTGGAAACAATCTGCGCCGTGAACAATGACCGAATAACCGGGTTCAAGTAGGCGTAGGAAGTGGATTTAGAAATGCAGTTCATGAACCACATACCTGTGCTCTTCTGCTTCCGTCTCTACGTCACCAATCTTGGAGGCTACCTGTTGTAGGCCTGTCTTGTAGTTTTCATATTGCTGTTGAAGCTCTGTATGCCAAGAAGTTAGGTTCTGATGATGACGACATCCAGCTTGTAGTTGCAATTCACTCACCTTGCTGCTTCTTCTGGGTGACTTGTTGAGCCATGGTTGTAGAGTGCGTGTTGTGGTTGTGAAAGACGGAGCTGTGCTTGGGCGGTCGAGGTGGTTTGTTTGGCAGAGCTTCGAAAACCGATGTGGGACCTTGACGGCCTGCCCTTTGCCGAACAAACAAAAATCGGCCCATCGCAAGACTCATCCTCGCTGTACAATCCCAGATTACACCTCCTCCAGAACCTCAACCCAATTTATGTCTTAGGCAAAAGAACCCTCGGAAACTCCATCATCATGCATCCCCATCTCCACACAAGTGAGAACACAGGTACGTCCGCCGGCGCAGCACTCCTGGATTGATTGTCGAGGATGCTAACGCTTCACCCCAGCATGCGCAGAGGTCATGGACCTCCTCGACGAATGCCACGCGCGCGGCTTCCTATGGAAAGCCGTGGGCATGTGCAACGATGCGAAGACCGCCGTCAATAAATGTCTACGCGCGCAGCGACTCGAGCGGACGAAGTTGAATCGGGAGGTGGCCAAGGTCAAGAACAAGCAGATTAGAGCCAAGTGGGCTGATATCGATGCGAATTCATGAGTGTGCCCGGAGAGCATGTATATATATGTGTACGAGGACCCGGATTCGTAGGCATACTGAAGGGCGAAGGAGGACAAACTTGCATGGAGTTATACTGTTGATTTGATGGGTGTTATTGGGATGGTGTTTTGGGGATATCACGCCAGATATGGTGAGCTGCGAGGACACGGTCGATGTACATCTTAGCAGCTGATGGCAAGATCCAATGCAAGAATACGATACGGAAACGGTATTGTTCAAGAATGGGACAGAATTGGAAAAGTCATTCGATCATTTGTGTGGTTTTGAAGGAAATGCTTGCACGTCTTCAAATGCTGGAAAGCTTGCTCAGTAACCAAACCGCACTCCCAGCGAACATTCCACTCAGATATCAATCAATACACGAAGGCTACTTTACTGCCCAACCAACCTACTTCTTGGTCCTAAATGCATTCCCAAATGTATACAGCCCGTACAAAGCCAAGGCGCTCAATCCCGCTGGTAGCGGCTTCTGAGTTCTCAACGCTCGAGGAATCGACGAGCCTGCAAGGACAACTGAGGCAAGCAGAGCGAGCTCAACGCCCCATGGCTGTTTGTTCTGGATGCGATAGCCGCCGAAGAGATACTATACGTTATGTATGTTAACAAGCTACCTTCGGCAATCAATCAATGCAAATGGTGGAGCGAGAATAGTAGTCAATGGTACATACCAATGTGCCAACTGTTACGCCAGCTACAATAGAAGGAATAGAGCCCGTCCTGACATATCCCATTGTTCCGCCGCCGGCTGTCAGCGCGCCGAGGATGTATGCGGGGAGTTCGATGCCCTATTCGACGTGATCATAATCAGTTCAGAGTCTCAATATATGGTACGAGTACTTGAGAAGTATAATGTAGATACCAAACGTACCATTTTGAAATTGAGATCGAGTAATCACTAAACAGATGAGTATGCGCGAGGAATAGATAGATATAGTATAGTTGCGGCGTCGGGAAGCTTACATATAACACTCTGTAAATAAAGTTCGATGGGGATGTTGTCCTGAAGCTCTAGAATACCCTCCGGAGCCTTATGTACGGCAGTCTGTACTTTACCCCTCGGCGTCCTGGACGGGCCGCAACACCCCCGTCGATATCAACATCGCTTGGCACCCGCAGCTGTTCAGCATCGCATCAAGCTTCGTGGCCTCACAAGGTACGGAATACAGCACCATAAAGCACCGCTACCAACACCAGAAATTCCACAACCCTCGACCCTCACCCTCTCCTCACGATCCCGATTCTTCACAATGGCACCAAAACGCAATGCCCGCGATTCAACGCCTTCCTCAACAGCCACCATCACGACCACAGCAACACCCGTCCCAGTCCCAACCCCCAGCAAATCATCCCTCAAAAACAACCATCAATCCATGCAAGAAATCGCCGTGGGGATATGGCAGAACTACCTCGACAAGACGCCACAGCGGACGAAGCTGATTGATACATTCATGGCGTTCCTGGTCGTGGTGGGCGTGCTGCAGTTCGTATACTGTGTGATTGCTGGCAACTACGTACGCATCCCTTCGCTACCTTCCGCGAATCCGTTTTCGGATATACAAATGAGATTAGGAGAACAAGTTTGCTGATGTGGAGTTCTAGCCGTTCAATGCGTTTCTTTCTGGGTTCTCGGCTGCGGTTGGACAGTTCGTTTTGACTGGTATGTATAGAAATTGCGGGACTGGGTGTATAGATGGCTGACGGATAGTGATGCAGCTTCGTTGCGGATACAGACGAATGTGGAGAATAAGGCCGAGTTTAAGGAGGTTTCTCATGAGAGGTAAGAGGAATCAACTTAGTGTTTGAAATGGGGACTCGTGCTAACTTGAATGGTTGTAGGGCGTTTGCGGACTACGTGTTTGGGAGCTTGATCTTGCATTTCTTCTGCGTGAACTTCATCAATTAGGTATCTGTATACTAGCAGGTTAGGAAGGGTGTTATTCTCCGGGCAAAATGTAGGAGTAGGAAAAATTCAAGGATATGTTTTGGGGTGCTAAGTCCTGCGATTGCATATGGTATCTAAAAGGCTCCGCAAATAACCAAAGATTTCTAAACATTCATCCCACTAGTCTACGCCGCTATCATTCGCATCTTGGGTATCTTTTGCAGCCTCCGCTTGAGGAGGTGGCCCGCCAGCCTTTGGCGGACCACCCCCAGCTTTAGGAGGGGGAGGCGGGGTGTTCCTAGCACTCGGAGCATGATCCAGCTCCCTACTCTTCTTCTCTCCCTCCGTAAAATAGTCGTCCAGGGCCTTATTACCGCCATGGCCATGTCCATGCTTCTTATCCTTTTTCCTGGTGCTAGTAGGCGGCGGAGGAGTTCCCAACTGTGCCGGAACCAAAAAGCTCCCTGGCTCTGAAGCTACCGTCGTAGGAACGAAAAACTGTCCACTCCCCGCCGCAGAAAGTGACCGGTTCTCCTCATTTGAAAACCGAGCATTCTCCGTCTCGAATAGCGTCTCCCCTGGTCCAGCAAGCGGCCCGCTGAGTGGTGCCGGCAACCTGTGTAAAGCACCGTACCCTAAAACACACCCCAGCGCACCCTCTCCACCCCATTCTCTGCTTGGATGAATCGTGACTTCCCTAGTAACATCATATTCATTATTGTAGACATATAGCCGTAATGGCCGGCCAATGTGGTCTTCTACCAGCTCACCAAGGCCGCTCTCTCCGTGCAAGACGCCTTCTGGCGTGCCCAGAATATAGTCGCTGTAGGGGAGTAATCCTGCAAGGTCGGCTGGTGAGTTGGCTGGCACGTCGAGGATATGCCAGATATTAGTGACGGCGGCGAGTGAGGTCCATTGCAGTGAGATGCCCAGTGATGGTTGGTCGGCAGGAACGGGAATATGAAGGGTTCTTGTACGTTGGCCCTGGTTATACCGTTAGCATCTAACTAATTGTAATTAAAATTACCGACTTATTTACCTTTGCACTCCATATCCCTAGGGTAACGGTGCTTCCTGCGCAATTGCGAACTTCTTGGGCGAACAGGCTTGGGTCAGAATCGTCCTAATCCTATTAATCAAAAGTGCCAACAGAGCAGGGCATAATAGAAACATACAATCATCCGGCCATTGATACCAACAATAAAATCAAACCAGGGCTCAATGGCTAGCTCTGGAGACTTGTTGCGAAGCACCTGGAAACCAAAAGCTCCATGGGTGGAGTTCTGAGTTGGTGATTCCGCGTCTAAGCGCGAAATAAAACGATTGAGAGCGTTGAACATATTTTCAAATATAGGTTTGCCTCGTTGATTTATTATGACTAGGTTGCCTTGGAATGTTTCTTAGGGAGAGTGAGTTGGAGTCGTTGAAGCTCCAGCAATCTGGTCGCTTCAGCCTTGTTGGTCCAAGCTTCAGCTGCGTCATCACGTGAAATAAACCCAATCGGAACTTCCTTTCCTCGAAGTTTAAGTCCAGCGTTGGCGACAATAAGACTCTGATAATAAACCGAAGAGTAGTTTATTCGGTAAGTGCGTATGAGCGAGGGAAGATAGAGTGCGTGTTTGTAATGTTTGGTGTATTTTGCCCGTTATATCTTGCAGTCGTCGTCCCTTAATCAGCCCCGTTTTCTCAGAGCCATTTTATGGTTGAGCCTGGCTGACCCAAACGCAGGTTAGGGGCAGCTGGCACTGCTATTAGAAGTTTTTCATTGCGCTTTGAACCCAACAACGTTCTGTTCTAAAGTTGAGATCAAATCCAAAGGACTGGAAGGATATTCTATCACAAGCACGCTTTGCAATCAGAATCTCAACTGCGCAATCAGGCCTTAATTCCCCAGGGACTTGTTTTCGGCGGAAATCGGCAGAGACTTCATGAGCTCAGATATCCATTAAACCGGAAAGATAAACACGCCAAGAAAAGCAAGATTGGCAGTCTGAAGAAACCTAAAAGACTCTCTGGAACCTCGTCAGCGCGTTTTTCAGTCTGTCGCTGGCAAACAAACAACTTCTAGACTGGAAACCCTGACCGAGGCTCGATTGAAAAGATATTTGAAAGTCATTCAGCAGAGTTACTATCAGAAGGTCAAGTATCCTACAATAGGTGGAATCGATTCACCAAAATGGCAAAGAGTCCAAGTAATGAGAAGTCCCGCAATCAATCCAGCACAGGAGAAACAGGAAACTCAAATAACTCTACAAAGAAGCAAAGCCCGCAAGAAGATAATATGGATTTAGAGGAGGAAACCATATTTCCGCTCACAGATGAATGCCATCATTACCAACAACGGAAAGAGGTCCCGTGGGATATTCAAAAGTAAGTACAAGTAAATCCATTACCATCTATATATTATTAATATACCTCTAGATACTGGGACCAAAGATACAGCATTTGGACTGCATATGATGATGGGATCCACATGACCGACGATGCCTGGTTTGGGGTCACTCCCGAGCCTGTTGCGAAGTAGGTGGTCCCATCACCGAACAATGTCTATCACTGACTAATAATAAATAGTAAAGTAGCCTCTGATCTCACAACTCGCACCCCGCCATCGAAAACAACAATAATAGACATATTTGCCGGTGCCGGCGGAAATGCCATCGCCTTCGCTCTCTCTGGCCGCTGGACAACTGTCATCGCGATCGAAAAGAACCCCTCAGTCATCGCCTGCGCTCAACATAACGCATACATCTACGGGGTATCCTCCCAGATAACATGGATCAACGCCGATTGTTTCGACTACCTCTCATCTCAAGATTCATCTATCGACCTGTCTAAAACTGTCATCTTTGCCTCCCCACCGTGGGGCGGCCCAGGATACCGCAGCGATAAAGTTTTCAACCTCAAAACCATGCTCCCCTATTCCGTGCAAGCCATCCACGACGCTTGCAAAATGATGGACTCGGCGCTCTATCTCCCCCGAACCAGCGATCTAAGGCAAATCGCCAAATTAGCGCCACCGGGTGAGAAAGTAGAGGTTGTACAGTATTGCATGGAGGGTGCTAGTAAGGCGCTTGTAGCTTATATCCCCGCTGCGTCTTCGCAAGAAATTGATAAGTGATAGTTTGGGGGTGTTTTCTCTTGAAGTCTTTCCCGGTGAGGAAATAGTGCCTTGAAGCCTCAGGAGTCGAATCGGGGATTTTCGAGCAGTTTTTTTTGTTGCACATCGTCGACGTTTGTCCTGAGGCAGGACGGCATTAGCATTAAGTTGGGCATCACTTTGGGTTTCTCAGATAGGTTAGAGCAAATCAACGTATTGGCTACGAGCGAGCACCTTGCATAGAACGCATTCAGCCATTCCGTCAACCCAACTTCTCTAATGTTTTAGCCGGTGTGCATGTAAATCAAGGCATTGTGGTTATGTCAAACTTAATTAAAATCACTTAGAAAAAGCAAGTGTTGTTTCTAATATTTATTTCATAGCGAAGAAGCAGAATCAAAACCAATAACCTATATGGCAATGAAAATGATATGTCTTCTACAAGGCCTTAACAATAGTTCGCTCGTCAAACAAGTCTTTTAATACCCCCATCCTACAAGCCTCCCAATCCGGTGCGCCCATAGAATACGTGCTCTCAAACGCAAAAATGCTCAACTGGCCAAAGAACGGTCGCAACACCTTCGCAACCAGCTCGTCCCTTCTCTCCCAATTGCCCTCGTCACTAATGCCACCCGGACCTATTAATGGCTTGCGGGTAGGGCTTTGCGATGTTTGCATCGCTGAAACTTCGGTTTGTATGGCTGCTGCCGACGCCGTTGAGCCCAGTTCTTCGGATATTGCATCTGCTAGTGCGATGGGATGGAATTGGGATGGTCGGTATACGGCGTCAATTGTATCGGTGATAAAAAGCCATTCTAGAAGTTGGAAGTCGTCGGGAGCGATGCATAGTAAAGTATCTAGCAGTTTACATGCTTGGAGGATCGAGATGTTGGTATAGGTGTCGGAAGCTGCGCTGTGATCAGGCGCTACGATGGAGGAGATCGCCGCGTGTAATTCGGCGTTGATAATTGGCCATAGAGTTGCGAGGTGGACAGCGGATGTTTTGAGGGCTAGCGCGCGAAGTAAAAGATAGACGTCTGCTCGGGTGGTTGAAGATGGCGAGGATGTTGTCGTCGCGAGCAGAAGTTCTACCATCTTCTCCTGTATTACTGGCAGGTCGGCGACGAAATTATCATCGGTGGTGGCTAGTACAAGTGTAGCGACACGTCGTAGATTAAGTTGGGTCTTTCTGTCTGCTTCAAGTCTTGCTGATGTAGCTCCGACACCAAAGACTATCCCCGCAGTGGTGGGAGCTTGCATTCGCGAGAGCAGCTCGGGCATGCGCTCTTTCTCCCCTAATGTCCATTGTTTCAATAGTGGTAGCCAGTCACTGTCAACAAGTGACAGCGCAGTAGAAAAGAACTTTGAATCGTTGAACGCGTCGGCAACATCCTTTTTCCAGGCTTTGTGGGTATTCGGTAGCCTGCTTAATTGATAAAGGAGTACCAATGTGCTTTTCGAGACATTGTCTGGAAAGGCTTTGGATTTGAAAGTTGGTCCGATGACACTAGTAGATATTATATTCGCAGCCGAAAGCACTCGGTCAGGCTCAACAAGGATCTTGGGAAGGTTAGATGCAATAGAGGCCAGAATACTGACAATATCGTCAGATCTGGCCAATGTCCGCTGGGGTGCTGAGGTTGAGCGGTCGACGGCATCGGAGGTTGTCTCCAAGAAGCCCATGGGCCTAGTTGTGAATATCGCCGTGAGTAACCTGAGAAAAAGATCCTATTATAGTGTTAGCGGTTTGAGCCCTTCAAATAATCGACAATGATCGTACGGCAAGGTCTCTGCGCATCTTCCGTTGCTCCCCAAAGTTAGTATTATCGACTTTCTCCCCCAAGATTGCCGCGAATTCTAGTAGACTTGGTAGGGTCTGCCTATGCGGAAATGGATTCGTTAATAAATCCTTTAGGAATGTCATGCAATCCACCCAGATTTCGTCCATCGTATCGTCTTCCAAGGAGCGGGTATATTCAACTAGGAATATCACCAAATCGGTGTCATTGAGCGATGAAGTCAACGTTGACTTTCGAGCAGGATCTAGCGCAGACGGGTTACTACGACTGTAGATGGCATTGAAGATAGCGGGGATTGTGTGCTTTGGTCTCGAGCCGTCAAGGACGTGAAGAAGATTGAAAACGACCATGGACTTCGAGCCTTGTTCGCTAGCCAAAGACTTTTGCCACATGTCCACGACAGTCTCCAAACACTCTAAAGTTTCTGCAGCAAAAAGATGTTCCAGGAGTCTGCGGGCTCGGTTCCTCATCCGCAATGAAGTATAGTTGAACGAAGCAGAGGATTCTACATCCTGGCGGGCCCCGTCTGCTCCTCCCCAGGACCAAATGAGAAAGCATATGCGGACAGCATCTTGGAATGACAGCAGAACAGTCAGTCGATTATTAGCAGACGCACTCCTAGCCTGAGGTGCCTCGGACGTGAATACATTCGAGACCATATTCCCGAAGAAACCTTGAGCTTGGTCTGGATTCTTCATCGCTGGTGTCTTAAGTTCGTCATGGAGCAGATGGTCATGCCCTCGTGCAAGAACATTCTCAAGACCATTTAATAGAGAGATCAAGGTCGACTCGGGCGCAACGGGCCTCGCGGTATCCAGGCCTGGCTCTTTAAAAGTTGTCTGAAGGCTTCTGAATGTCCGTTCAATTTGACGGCAAAACGTTTCCACTAACGGTATGAGGATCTGGAAAATGGTATCCGAGTATAGGGGTAAGCACTTGGTAAGAAAGCTAATCCAGTTATCTAAGACTGGCCTACTGCTGGATGCAGCAAACCCCGCCTGGAGGCAATTGATAAGGGCGGGCGGTGGCGGAGGAACCCTTGGAGGCGGGTGTGGATCTGTACGGTCCGTTGAGATAGAGAGCCTTGGGTTGTGGGGTGTGTCTTGAGCACTTGGGCGCTTGTGCTCTATTGTTGGGGTTGGGGGAGCAGCAACGAATGCAGAGGCACTCCTGATCTCCAGCGAGATATACAACACCTTTAACAATAGGTCTTGAATGGAAGAAGAATCCGGTTCATCTAGAGATTTAGTTAGGCGATCAATAAGGATATGCTCCAGCTGGAGATCTGCAAGCTGTAAGGAACTTGGACTTCGGAGAATTTGTTGGAGGGTGGTCAAGGCCGTCAGCTGAAACTTTTTAACTAGTTCTAAACTGGCGCTTTGTGGGCCATGTCTTCCAGATATTGCTCGTAAACAAACTTGCAAGAAAAACTCTAGTAAGGTGACCTCGCCATCACGTCCAGCTGAATTTGTCAGAAATTACTCTAGAGTAGGGTTGGGATACTCACTAATACTGGATAATGCGGTGTAATTTGTATCGGGGGCGATCGTATTTTCAGCAAGCACCACCCATACATGAGCAGAAGAGCACTGTAGAACATTGGATAGCGTCCGAATATAATATGAGCACCCATCTAAATCATCTTCCTGGGTATATATCCGTATAGGGCCATCTAAGCTACTGGGGCCGCTCTCGGAAGCTGTATGAAGAAACTCGAATTTTAAGAATTTGGATATAAGCAGATAAAAAAGCCTGCACTTTGTCAGTAGGGTTCAATAGCCGACGTCATATTATACCACATACTTCTCAATACCCACGAGGGTTTGTAGCCACGTCTCCATGGTCTGGAAGAGTTGGGTATGTTTGTCCAGCAGTGAATCGAGGAGTAAAAAGAGAGGCCGTGAAAGCATCATCCCATAGTTCTCAATACCAGATAGGCGGATTGGGCCCTTAGCTTCAGTGTTAGAAGACTTGCGCCCCTTCTGGTCCGAGTGGCCGGTATCCTGGAGCGTGTGCGTCCATAGCACGCCAAAGCGCCGGCCGGAATCAGCATCTCGAACGGCAAAAGTTCCTCCAACATCACGCTCCACCATGAGGGAGCAAATTGCCGATTCAATCTCTCGATTTGACGGCGACAAGCTCGTCTGTAGTTGCCAAAGACATCGGACAGTCTCTACATGGTACTTGGGCTGCGATGCTGATAAATAAGACCAAGCTAGGCGCACAAGCGGGTCTACCAGATTTGATAGATCAGTTGCAGATATGTAGGATGCGGAGTAAAGGTTGGTTGCAAGAGACGTAATTGACGTAAAAACTATAAATGGCACTGGCGAAGAGACGGTCAGGCTGCTGTGCATAGATGAGATGACTGTTGTGATATCAAGACTCTTGACCCTGGGTATCTTTGATAACACCATCATTAAAAGCTTGCTCTTCATTCCCGCATCAACACTTGGGGTTGGCCCAGATAGGTCTTGGCTGGTGATGCTAACAGCTTTCCTCGTGAGGAGCTCGCTCACGTCACGGGATGAGAAAGGGGGTCCAATAGCGTCAAGATTCCCTTGGTCTTCAGTGTAAAATGCTTTGATATTTTCGAGTATCTCTGCGTTCGCTATAGTTCGTGCCGCTTCTCCGTCATCGGTAGTGGAAAGAGATTGGCTCGTTGACGGCCGGGTTTGAAAGGCGCGGTCTGGGGCGAGATCGATAAGATCCATTGCGATGCTTAAAGCCATCTTGGACACCTCCGGGGATACCCCAACATACTCATGCTCTTTCCCATTTTTTCCTCGAGTGTCTTCCAACATGCTCAATATTGTTAAGGTCGTTAAAGGGGCATGTACCATGAGCATCTCTTCCTCCCGAACATTAAAATGAGCGATGATGAAATTGACCAGTGAGAGATTGTTTATTCTTTCCGTAGCTGTGGCTTTGTCAGTTCCAATAGCCTGAGCGATTAAGCCAACAATTTCTCTCCAGATTAGGCCACTCTCGACGCCATCAAAGAAGACACTCGCACTGCGAAGTACTTCAGAGAATTCAGTTTTACTACTCGCTTGGGTTTTATATTTCTGGACACTGCTGACGATAGGCAAGAATATATCCGGCACAACAAGGCCACCAATTTCCCACCTGTCCATTAGAGAAAGGCAAATTCGGAAAGGCCTCGGTCTGTCAACAGGGTTAATAGGATCCTGTTGAATCATTTTTAGAAGAGCGTTAGTTAACGGCCGTAACCCGAACTGTTCGAAGTAATGGGTCGGCGACGATGGGTGAGACCCATGGGAGCTTGCTGTCACCGAAGCAGGCGACTCTGGCCCACCCTCGGAATCGTTATGAACAGGCTCGGGACCCAATAACCATGTCCACAGGCGTCTATTAAGGCTCATATCTCTACGAGTAACTACACCTGCGGCAGCTGTTATAAGAAGCTCTAAATCTTCCTTCTTCACTCGTTTTTGTAGGACTTGGGAGTGCAGCGGAAGGTGTGTAACCAGGAGATCCAGGAACCCGCGTTGAATCAACAACTGTTCATCAGCTAATCCAGCGGCAAAACATCTGAGGAGTAGTCCGGGTTCTGGAGATGTCACGAGTTCGGCCAGGCGTCCAGGATCCAAGCCGGTGTCCCCCTTGTTCGACCCATTGGCAGCAGTGTTCGCTCCATCATGGGCAAGCGGTTGACCAAGTTTTGGTAGGTTTCGGAGCAGGTAGGCTAAAGCACCAAGCCGGCGCCCATTGCTTGTAATGGCCGCAAGGAAGAAACATTGCCAAAAGTACCCATCTCCACTATTATGATTCTGCCCGAGATCATCACTGTTTGACGGCCTAACGGCATGCTTGAACCCATCAAGCAGCGTTATAGTGCGTTCAAAATCCTCACTTGTCTCCTCCTCAAGTCCAGGCAATACCGAGAGTATAATGGCTTTAAGAGCAGGTCGAAGGGATCGGGAATCGAGTTTGAGCAGGTACTTTTCGAGTAGTTCAAGGAATGGGGACCGAACGGTGAGAGATGCGAAGGACAGCGTAGACGACAACCCGGGGAGGTATAAAGGCAGATCTCTAGCAAGAGAATCCTTACCTATCATCGAAAAGATGTAGGCGTAGACTTCGAGAGCTTTCTGGTGTACGCCGGAAGGGAGGGAGGGGTTCAAGCACTGTGCAAGTCGTTTTGCGACAATGGCTTTCGAGGGGACAGTAATAACCGTGGGAGGGTGCGCCTGAAGAGACTATAACAGAATTTCAGCAACTTCCTTGGGAAGAGACTTTGAGCACCAAAGACCTTCAATAATCGCCCAAGAAATGAAATGTAGTCTGCCCATTCCTGCAGCGCGGTATCGAACAGGGAGAGTGATCTCTCGACGCCCGAGGCATATCTGCGAAATGCTTTGTCTTTATTAGGAGGATCATCTAACACCGCCGGTTAGTCCTGACCCAAAAGATTCTAAGTTAGGGCAGCGGCAATTTACCTGTTGTCCATCTTTTGGGAATTGGTGAATCCCTCCCGGAGCCGGTTGGAGATGCGGACTGGCGCCCTGAGCTCTGCTCAAGGGGGGCCATTTTTCTTGCAAGGCGTCGCAGAGCAGAGAATACAGAGCATATCGAGTGTTTTGTTGAAGAAGAGCTGCGGACTTCTATAATAATATCGATGTCCTCGCTCCCGCCGCTGTGTGTCCTCTTCCAAGGTGCCTAGAGGTACGTCGGAAGCGCATTCGCTAATGCCTGCGAGTACTGCTAGAACGAGGGTTCCTGTAGCTTTATTATTATTAGGCATTCGGGGGTATGTAAGGAACCGCTAAGCCCCACAGCGGACCCTGTCGGAACAATGACGCGCTATCAACGTCAACTTTCTATTTCCCTATACGAATTTCATGCGAGGCTCCCAAGTCCAACGTAGCTCACATTCAGATGAACAAACTTATAAAGCAATTTCTACACGGCAACTAGTGAAGGGAGAGTCAGAGGGCGAGAATGAGTCCGTTGGGGCAATGACGTTAGATGGTGAGCACGACGCCTCAGAGGGAGCAGAGTCAGGACACCAACGACAACCGGGCACCTCTGGGGTAAATCCCACGCCAGAGAATGATCTTGAGAGGCAAAATGGTAGTGAGGAAGGACGGCCTCCTCTTCCTCCGCGGCCATCTCTCCTCCAAGGTGCAGACCGTCCAAATACACCCCTCTCCCCGAGCAAACGATCTGCATTACAGTCAAAACCTACGACAGCGGTTTCATCAGTAGATATACAAACTCTCTCATTTCCCGATGGCTCCAGGGGAACCTTTCCAACACCGGCGAGCCGGTCAGTGTCTGAATCAGTACCGGTGCCGGGACTTTCTCCAGGCCAGAGTACGCCAAGTAGGAAGGTCAGCCGCAGTGGGAGCGAATTTGACGATAGCACGAGCGTTATGAGCTATGCCCCAACTTTAAGAGCGAATGGAGATCTTGCAAGTCTACTAAATGAGGGTCTTAATTCGAATAGCCCTGCGTGGCAACTCCTAAGTGCCCAGGCGGATACTGTGAATCCATTTGAGACGGTGAACTACGAAGAGCCCTCGTTGCAGAATTTCGAGCACGAGTTTGATGATATTGAGGTCGTGGATAGTAAGAAAGGCAATGAAGGTAAATTTCCTTCCAGATTATCAAGGACTGGCGCTGATTGCTTCCCTAGAGGAAGTCCTGTGTCAATGGAAATCAAAATTGAAGCATTACTTGATTCTATCCTCAGCTGGAAAGCCCATATACAGCAGGCATGGAGATCAAAATTTAGTCAATGGCTACATTGGGATAATACAAACCATTATCTCCTTTTATCAGGAAGCGGAAGACCCATTAATGGGGTTTACTGCGGGTGGCACGAGATTCGTGGTGATGACTGATGGTCCACTCTACTTTGTGGCGATAAGCAAGCTTGGAGAAAGCGATTCCCAGCTTCGATCCCAATTAGAAGCATTATATATGCAGATTCTTTCAACGTTGACGCTCCCCACCTTGACGCAACTCTTTACAAATCGCCCCAATACGGATCTTCGCAGGCCATTAGAAGGAACGGAGGGCTTATTATCGTCCTTAGCAGACACTTTCACGAAGGGCTCCGCGTCCAGCCTGCTCTCAGCCCTAGAATGCTTAAAAATCAGAAAGTCCCAGAGACACACAATCAACAATACCCTCTTGAGAACACGCACAGACAGACTCCTCTACGGTCTGATAGTTGCAGGAGGAAGGCTTGTTAGTGTTATCAGACCAAAGAGGCACTCACTCCATCCAAGTGATCTACAACTAATTTTCAATATGTTATTCGAAGCCGGAAGTGTGAGGGATGGTGGGGGAGAAAATTGGATACCTTTATGCCTTCCAGGGTTCAACAACAAGGGTTATCTTTACATGTATGTCAGCTTCTTGAGCGCTCTGGATGACACGGAATCCCCAAATGAGCGACCCTCGACTGCTGATGGCCGCCGAGAAGATGAGATTGCCGTACTTCTCATCAGCGCGGACAAAGAAGCCTTTTTTGAGCTCAAGCAGATGCGAGATGATGTTGTCCACCAATTGGACAAGAACGGAAGCATGAACATTATAAAAACCGCTGTACGCCAGGGACGCCCACGCATAACCGACATTGCCCCTGGAACTCAACTGCGACATTTCCTATACAAATCACGTGCCAATGTTCAATTTGCTATGCCATCATTCTCTCCACACTTTAACAGTCTTCTTACGCGGAGAAGGTAGGTCTATACTTTAATTCCAGGTTTTGATATGTCTTCCGTATCTGAGGCTAACAAATAAATCTAGACTAATGAGCCTCTATCATAATTTGCATGCTTCAACGCACGCAAAACACTCTCATGTTAAAGTCCTCCATTGTGTCAGCGAGGACAGCACCTCTCTAGCATGGACATCTCCTGTATTTGAGTTCTACTGTGTCGCCGGCCCGAACTCGTCGCGGGCTGCCCTAGCCCAAGGCGCAAACCAGGTGATCCAATGGGTGAAACGGGAAGAGGAACGGGTGTTCATAATCGGCGGCGCTGTATTCTAGAAAAGAATTTTTAGAAAAGAATAAGAGCCCCTTCTGTTGATCTTTATGGGCTAATAAAAACCACCTCATCCATGCCCGCATTCTCGGACGCGCTACCACAAGTATCAGCGTCGCAAGTGTACAATTCCATCCACACTCTAGTAAACCACCTTAGGCGTTTCAATGAAATCGGAATATTAAGCAGAATTTCTTGCCAGGGATGCATTGTTGCTGTGGACCAGATTTAGGTATTGCTGAACTGAATGTCATGGACTAACACATGGAAAGTTCGAAGGTATATTAGAAGATAGTGCAAGGTCGGTGCCGAGATGGGAGCTGTGGCCATCATGAACCTTTTCTTCTTGTAAAAGGCTGGGTTCAATTGGAAGCACCTATAGACTATTCAAATCAATCGAGCAATTATTTGTAGTGGTACTGTTACTAGAAGAGTGACTACTCCAGTATATGCCAATAGGGCAATGGGTTTCGCTCTTAAGCTTGTCTGTTACTTCGGCTCTCCGGAGGTTGGACTATTATCTAGGACAAGATCCTCCTTGTTCTTGTCTTACTCGCATTAGTTACAAATAGCACTAGACTTTTTTATCATCTCCTATCATTGCAATGTTCTCTATGCACTCTTTTTACGCTATTCTTGACCTTACTCAAAATAAACAAAACAGAACGTAGTACCACTAGTGTTCTTCGAACTCTAGTTCACCTAGCTAATTATAGAGAATTCTAATTACTAGTAAAACAAATAATCATGATTGCTAAAAACCTTTAGATAGAGAATTAGTAGATTCTGCCAGGCTACCTAATACGACTATCTGTTTCGGCTCCTTAAATGCTCGAAGCTCCTAAAATTGCCTCAACTTTTCAACAATCAAGAGAAACTCTTGCCCCCTCAAAGTATTCATCTATTATCTAGAACTCGGCTAGATACCCAAGAGATTTCTGCATGCCGGGATTGTGTCTTGAGCACCAGGAGTACCTAATACGAATGACTGCCTTATGAGACTATTCCAGCCAAGAACTTTTACGCTTTGAATCATACTGAAATTCCATGTTGACCTGCACAACCCAGTGGCGGAATTTGAAAGCGATTTCACCTAACGTCACTGTCACAGAAACAGTCCCAGATAAATGCTTGGTAAAATTAGTGGAGGCACCGTTACGCATGAGTTTGAAAGCGCTGGTATTTTCGTTAAGAAGATCAGAAAAGCCGTTTACCGGAGCAATTTCCTTGTCGATGTAGCTAACCCAAAGGTCTAATTCGTTTCCAAGATCTGAACGGACATATCCACCGAGTGCAATTGCAAAGGGCGGTACCCTGACCGGAGTGAGTACGAGGATAGCGTGGGTACCAGGAATATGTCCATACGACACGAGCTCTAGAGGGGATCGACCGAAGAACATGGCAGATGATGCACACTGGCCCCGAATTTGACAACCTATCGGACTATGAATGATGAATTTCCCACCTAGAAATTCTGTATCGGATTGTTCTGATTTTATCTGGAGACTCCTCATATCTCCAACTGTGCTATCAGGATCAATAAACCCATCCGGCTTAGCGATATTAACAAGGAATGGCAGAGAGAAACGCCCAAAGTAATGAGGGCTCCATGCCCGGAGAGGCAACGCCAGATGATAAACATTATCGCTTTCAATAGTGCAATCAAGAATAGCGAACACCAGGGTTTCTTCGTAGAAGCAATGGTGAGAAAACACCCTTCCGTCAGTGTTCCACAACTCAGAAATGGCTCCACCGGCAGAAAGCAAAGGAAGCTGGATATTAACTCCTCTGTTGTATGCCAATGGTGTGCTTTTGTTATGTTGACGAACATCTGGAAGTATCCTCACCAACCGGCTGTTGGCGAAATCCGCCGGACTTTCAGCAAGAATTCCTTGAAGCCTGGTAACTCTTTGCAATTCAGAAAATTGATATGGATAACGCATTTCCATGGTATAATTAACCTCGACTGGAGTTTGGGGCAAGCCCCATGCGAACAAGGACTGGTCATCAGAAACTTTCATAATCTCCTCTTGGAGTCTAGCAAACGCCCTGGAGCCTTCTCCATAAAGGAGTGGCATGTTGACATCAAATATGCCAAGAAGACAGTATGCGGCATCCTCAATTCGCGTTGTTTCTCGCTTTGCGGCCCAGGACATCTTCTTGGCTACGCAGGTTGACTCCAAGTTACGATATTTGAGTACTTCCTCGTCGATTCCAGTGATTTCAGTGAGCAGCTCGCACAAACTTAGTTTACTCCCAAGGAACTGCCAGCTAGCGGAGTAGAATAGCACGTCCGGTGAAGCAATGAGTTCTTGAAGGGTCCAGCCGCGAGTAAACCAACGGCTAAGAGCAAAGCTAGAAACATTCCTCGACAGATCGGTGTCGCCAGGTACGTCTGAGAGATAGGCGTAACATACCCATGCGTTCTTGTACCAGCTAAACATAGAGTTGATAGCCTCGGATAGCTCTGCAGTGCTGGACTTGTCAATGCAGCACCTGATGCCGTAATGAGCCAGAGGGCCTATAGAGACAGGTATTGAGACTCACGTATCGACCCAAATCCAATCAAGTCCATCCTTGATAGACTGCTCACAACCAAATTTGATCTTTTTGTAACCAAGCTTTAGCCCAGCACCCGGGGCCATGATGTCCTGATATGTAACCTCATCCCCTCCCCAGGTATGCGACAATATCGCATAGCGTGGGACATTTTCTCCAGCTATAAATTCCTTAGGCTGATGAGTTCTTGAGTCTAGAAGCCGCATATTGATTGTCCCGCCGCAGGGTAGTGCCTAACAGAACCGTTTGATTCAGCAAGAGGAGGATGAAGAAAGTAGCTTCTTGTGAAGTTGTGAAGAGGCAAATTGCAAAGGGATGAGCGTCATTGCAAGTAGCAAGGTGCCTAAAGAAAGGAAGCTTAATAGTCTTGCGAATTTCAAGAAAAGGCTGGTAGGGTAAATATTTTTGAAACATCGCTAGCAAGGGTGGGCTCATGGTTAGGTCCTGCAGGATGAAGTATGAAGTACGAGTAATTGGTTGCAAAACCCGGGTGTATAAACGCGCATCGCTGCTATAGGAGCTGATTATAGCGCATTCTTAGGCGAATTTAGTACAAAACTCTTTTCAGTAGAAAATCAGATACCTACAGCTATTACCTATATATATCTCCGCTATCGAGCTTCTATACTATTTCTATATACTAATCTAGAGAGCTTAGATATCTTAATTTTAGTTAGATATTTATACGACTTGAATACTTTAATTCTAGTAAGATATTTATACGATATCAGATTTATATCTAGGTAATAGCTGTCGGGCTTTATATTACTAGCGAAAAGAGTTCTGCACCAAAGTCACCCAAGAATACGCTATAGCTGATATCCTAGCAACTACACGCCCCGGGCTAGCGTAATATAAACAACTACTTCCCTCACAGGCGTCAACCTCTGTAGTATTATGCTCTATGACCGTAGCCACGATAGTGCAGGAGGAAGATCTCCTCGGCGGGTCGTCACAGAATCCAAGGGGCTAGAGGTGTGAGACGTATGGTAATCTGATGCCTTGCTCCTCACAGCCGGACTTTTCCATAATAGGCGGCCATTCTATTCATATCGGTTAGGGGACTTTAGAAACGCCGAGCGATGCCATATAGTGCCACAAGTCACGATACAGAGGTGATTTATCGGGAAATTTCCGAAAACAAAATTATTATCACACCTGAAAAGGATTTTGATCGTCCTAAGTAGCCAGAAGTCCGTCAGTCCGCTTATAGTGATGTCACCTTTATCTTGTTAAGGTTCTTGCTTTCAACAGACCACCCATCTGTCGTCGCCGATGGACCAGTAAAATACTCTGCCGCTGTTACGTTTCCACCCAGTGTCCACTGCAAGAAACGGACAGCTGCGACGCCGAATTTTCCTGCATCGGTCTCCATATACGTTCCTGAGTGCCCAACTGGTAGGTTTCCTTTCCAGGACGGCGTGTCGGTTGGAAGGAGTTTGTAGTCGCGCTCACCCTATAAACGAAGCAAGTCTGTTAGCCAAAATACACAGTACAAGTCGCTAAAGTATTAAAAATGTGAATGAGGGGTTTTCTTTTAGGGATGAGTGTAGAAGCACCACACACTTACATTTGCATAAGCAATATCACTACTTCCGCCCAAGAAGAAGAATATGGGCTTAGTGATTGTAGACGCGATCTGTTTGGAGGCCGCCTCGGTCATCTGGCCAGAGTTGAAAATCCCCAGGGCGCTAATGCGGGCGTCGTCTTTCATATCGTAGGCTTCAAGGCCGCCACAGCTTTGTCCAGCAGCAGCAATCCGAGTTGCGTCCACATTTACATATTTGCCTTTCCCTGCATTCTGAGACACCCAATTAATTGCGTCTGTCATCATCTTGGAGGTGGTTTGCCCAGTTCCTCCAGGATCACCGGATGCGATTATGAAGATGCCGTATGAGGCTATTTCGTTAAGGAGAGACAGGAACATAGTTCCATTTGCTTGGCAGCCGCCCTCCCCCCATACTAAGACTGGCAGTTTTAGGCCATCGGGGATTTGTTTTGGGGCAAAGAGGGTGTGGCCTGTGAGAGTTGAGTCGGTAGAGTAGTTCTACTGAAATCAGAAACCTACCATACTCACTGCAGGTTGTTGGGTAGACGTACTGCTAAGTATGGCCCGCTTCCCCCGTTCTGTAACGCAAGTGTCAGCAAGTGACAAGTTGAAATTGCGTGTGAAATGATAGGCTTACAGATGGACCGCTATTTGAGAAGCCTTGTGCGACAGCAGCTCGGGTAACGAGAGCCGCTGTAATGAGAGCTATCCACTTCATGATGGGTTACCAAGGCGCACGTTAGTTGCTAAAGATCTAACACGATTTAGGGTCACGACACATATAAATAGCAGTGGAGGTTTAAAGAAGGCTATACCGGCAACTTAGAACGGCATATATCAACAGCAGAGTTAAGCAGCCTCAACGGCGGCGGGGAAAACTTTACAACGGCTAAACAAATGGCCCTATGAAAGGAAAATACCAAGAGCTACTTATAACCAGACCTGCAATTGCTAAGAACGGGGTATCCATCCGGTGCGGGGCATAATAACTATTAAATTAATGGCTTGCAAGGTAATCCGCACACTAGCTAGAAGCCACCACAGGAAACTTAAGCACATACATTATAGAGTCATGATCTAAGTGTGCAACAGTGCTTTAAGAATAAACTTGTAATATTAGTAGACAAGTCAAGTGAAGAAAGCAACGGAGTTTATATAATCTTTTTGTAAAGCTACCATAGAGAGTACGAGGGCATAACAGGGCTAGTGAGTTAAGCAGGCAGGAGCACTCGGTGCACTGCTATAAAGAGGAAAAAAGTGAGAAGCGAATAGTTAAATATCCATTTTGTAGAAGCGAAAATGATAAAGAGAGGGGGTTGAGATCCTGCTTTTAAAGCGGGTGGATGATACAGGAAATCAGACAATGTCTAGGGGGACGGAACATAGAGGATGGACGACAGAGGAAAAGTGGACAGAAAGGAGAGGGTGGACGGAATTGATATTAGCCATGTGAGAGAGGAGAAAGTCCAAAAACCTAACCAATCGTTAGAGACGCCGTAGGGAGAGTATGCCGACAGTCCCTGCCGAGTCACAGTGTGCGCAGCATAGGGAACAATGCTGATGCTCGGTGCCAAACGGGAGCACGTATAATGGCATAGGTTGGGGCCATATTTATGACTCCCTCCGAACCTTATTTCTTTCTTATTTTTGAATGTTCGCTTGCGAAGTGCTAGAGGAAGGTGGGCGACTCGTCTTCACAACCTTCCAAATTACGATCAGCAACTATCTAGGTAGGTATATTAACAGAGACGAAGGCATGGAGCCGGGAGCAAAAATTATCATTTACCAACTTAGCTGTAATATTTCCCCACCCATCTTCCATTGATGTTATGATGGTTTCATGTGCCGATTGTAATGCCGGCTCCGGCTAAAGCCCATCAGAAAACCGGTTCTAATATAAACAGAGTTATGACCATGTCTCGCAGGTGCTTTTGTGTAGAATACCTAATCAAACAGTAATCAACTTCTAGATCTCACAAATTGTATCAAAAGCCACGATCCTAGGCGGGGTACTGTTCTCTACTGCATCTGTAGCCCCTTTTCATTTAGATGGGCGTCATATTGGCGCACGCTAGGATGCTCATATATTTCTGACCAGAGATGCTAGTGATCCATATCCAGTTTTCTCAAAATCCCATTATCCCCGGTATGGGGATGGTCTGTATGAGGTAGATTCGACGACGTCTGCGGATATGTTACTGTCCGTGTCAAAACGGACTAGAGTGGCTGAATGCCTATAGGACTAAATGCTTAAAATTAAAATTAGTCATGATTGGTCACTCAGAAGGGCAGAAATATACCTCTTACTTATTTTCAGGCTGCTAGACAGCGTTTTAGGGCTTTGTTGTTACTCTGAACATATTGGGTGGAGGTGGCTCAACGCTCGGGTCGGGTTACCCCTCAAGAGAATATAAAAACAAATCCTCCAGACAGGACACCGAGCAGGAGATTCTTCTCGGATTTGAGGATTATAGTTCAGGTCCATTCCCGGAACCCAGTAATCATTTGTTGCATTGGGGCGAATGGAGTCCAAGTGGAGAATCTGAAAATCCATACTCAATAGATCTTCCCGCTTTCCACAAGTGCAAGAGAACCAAGAGATAGTTGATCAAATTCAAGGCGAGTTTCCAGGATCGTTTCATGAATGCGGACCATTAATCGGAGAACTTCCTGGTACCGCAAACGCCACATATACCAACATCACCAGCGTTAATGTATGCGCTATCCTTGCAAGTGGAACCGCGGCACCGCCACGAATCCGGGATGAAGTCTGGCTTGAGGACGTGAGAGCAGACTGTGCATGTTAGAGTTGTAGGCTCATTCGACACGGAGCATATGGGACATAGTATCTGGGGGTTCTTGGGATCAAATCGAGGTATACTGGGTGGCTCCGAGATATCTTCTCTTGTTGTTAAGGTCGAATTGCGCTTAGGAACACGGCTTGTAGTCGAGTTTGCTGTGTTGGAATTGGGGTGGGTGGTTAAGGAATTTGTTCGTTTCGATGCCTGAGAGACTGATAATGTGGAATGAGCCTGGGGCTGGAGACTAGTTTTAGAAGACGAGGAGCTCGATGGATGGTCCTTTATGTCCTCGAGCTCTCTCATTTCGTTCTTCACATTATTGTCTTCCTCGTTCTCATCTTCGCAAACCTTAACCCAACCCAAAAGGCGCTTCCCGTCGATATCCACAGCATCGTCTGGTTCAGCCTTGATAAGCACATCGTCCTCCATATCGCCTTCTGTCTCGCTATCCGTCACTAATTCTTCCTCCTTGGGCTTAACCTCGAATCTGGCCAATGCAGCAGCAGCACGCAATTCTCTGCCCCTAGCACTACCAGCAACTCGTGGTTTACCCGCCGGCTTCTTGCCCTCAAGTTTGACTTTCGTTTCTTCATCCGCGCCTAGCGTGATACCGTTCGTGCCAAACTTCCTTTTGATTCTGCGTTCCTGTCGCTCCTTGTACGTAATTTTCGGTTTGGCTTTTCGTTTCCTACCACCTCTTGATCTGAAGGTACCTCCACACATATGTTCTGGGAGGACTTCCCCCTCACCAAGGTCTTCCCGAGCAAAAGCTCCATTTTCGAGAAGTACGCCGCGGCCCCAAAGGCCTTCCCCTGTATATCCTTTCGACCATAGCTCTCTCATATGGTTTGAATACTCGTTTCGGACTTTCCAGAATGCTGTAAAGAAAACTACTTGTCAGATTGCCAACTTTAATATACGGTGGTCGGATATTGAGCTACACCATGCCCGCTCCATTCCCACCAACTCAAAACAATCAATAGCTCACCTCCGGAGTGGTTCATTTGCTTGCAGTGTGCGAGCTCATGCATCATAACCATCTGCACAAATTTAAACGGAAGCCAGCGGCCAGTAGAGGGCGATCGCAGAACAAGTTGTATAACTTCGCCATTGTTGAAGTTCCTTCCTACTGAGTAATTAGCCACCGCACAGGGAATTCTACCGCTTCCTTCAGCGTACCCCAGAATTCCCGATTTGGTTCATATTCGTCCAGTGATGCGACTGAGAGGCAGTGTTTATTCGTGATAGGCAGACATTGCGCAGCGATACGCTCAAGGAAATCCTTTGCAGTGCTCTCTGTGGGTCCGGGTAGAGGTTTGATGAAGACGATGTTCTTATTTGGGACAGAACGTTTGTTATTAATCCTAGTAAATCCTAACGGCATATTGGGGATGGAATTATATCCCTTGAGCTAGATCGTCAAGGGATACAAGTATAGCGGGAAAAGGTTGATCGCGGGGCAGGGTACGTTGATGGCGACGTTTGGAGGGCTTCAAGAGGCGCGTCTCTTGAGCCGAAATAAACGCGAAGTCATATGACATGATTACGAATAATGTATAGAGGTACAGTAGTTTGTGCCTTGATATTAAGGTGGAACTAGGTTGCTTGTCTCGCCAGTCTGTCTCCCTTTCAACCATCAACAGGTCTAAATCCAGTCCAATCCATAGCTATCAGCCACAGGCAGTATATATAGCTGTGTACCCACAACCTTACCCCCTTTAGGACCTCAAAACTTGCACTGTATCACTCCGTTCGCTATGTAACGTAGTCGCATGCCTCGAGCAGCAGGCAGAGCAGCCAAGGCATCGCAGTCACCCTCATAACTTCTGTAGGTGCTCGCGTTACACCTGCGCGCTCTTTCCAGTTTTCCTACAGCTAACCGCGTTGGCACTTGCCGAACCCAGTCGCATAACTGAACGTGCACCTATCACACCTATTCACACCACCATATACAATTCGCCATGGCACCATACATGTATTCGATATGCACCGCGACGAGAGTAATCACGGTCGCCAGCAATCCGATTATGCAGTTGGAATGTTGTGGTACGGTCTGATCGAGAGCGTGATCACACAGACAGACGTGTGCGATTTTCGTATGCATTTTCAGTCCAACCTGCGCTTCCGTCTCCCCCGCCAGCACCATGGCACTGCACTCCTTGGCCCTGATGGCCTCGTCGCTACCATACGCGGCGAACTTATGAATGGTGGGAACGACTCCCTTGTCGCCTCCCCCCTCCGCGGCCAGGCCATCTTGGATCACCCAAACTACCAGGCATGGATTTCCTCCCTCCTTTATCGTGATGGTGAACGTTACAGCCTATTTTATGGCGCATTCTTGGGCGACTTTGGTGCAAAACTCTTTTCGCCAGTATTATAAGGCCCAACGGCTATTACCTAGATATAAATCTGATATCGTGTAAATATCTTACTAAAATTGAGGTATTCAAGCTATATGAATATCTCACTAGAGTTAAGGTATTCAAGTCGTATAAATATCTAGCTGAAATTAAGATATCTACACTATCTAGATTAGTATATAGAAATAGTATAGAAGCTCGATATCGGAGATATATAGGCAATAGCCTAATATTTCTAGCGAAAAGAGTTTTGCACCAAAATCGCCCAAGAATGTACCATACTATTTCCCTATTGAAATCGCCCGTTCAGGGGATATATATTCGATGAGAAGATCATTGGAAACGCAGCACCATCTAATTTAGGGCTAGGACATACATTAACAGTTGATGGCTGAACAAGATATCATGAGAATATGAAGCAAGCTTATAAACCAAAAATATTTTAATCAATCGAGTCGTCCCTGAGCGTAAACAGCTCCTTGAGAACCTCGTCCGTCCTGCTTCTGATTGCATCATGGTACATGGTATTCGAAATCACTTGTCTACAATTTTTGACCAGCTTTACAGTCTCCTGCGCAAGCCCAAAATCCACGTACATATCGTCAATGAACGTCGCTGCGTAAAGAGTCGTAGAATTCCGGGCCAATTGCCACTCGTCATAGAGGTCGGGCCAGTCAGTGTATTTAGCTATCATATCCGCGACCGGAGCGAGCTTTTCGAGCTCGGGGAATGCATCGAATAGGAAGGGGTATATCATCTCGCCGGAGAAGAACAGTGGCGCTTCTCGAACGCTAGATGCGGATTGGGGGGAACCAGCAAGCCATTGAAACTCCCTATAGCTTCTTCCGACTCTTTCTGCCGACCAATTTGAAGCAACACCCTGGCAATAAATAGCTTCATGTAATATTGCATAGAGGACATTATCGTCAAAGCTGAGGGCACTTTCGAGTGCTGAGAGCGAAGGGCGGCTTATGAATTGGAATTGGGAGAGGTCTAACTTGCACCGTAGTATCAAGTCATGCACAGTGTCGAGGCCACCGTGTACTCCAAAATTTCTGCCCAGTGTTAATAGTCCTCTGACTGTTAGAACACCACCTGATGGAAGCGGAACGCCGCCTTTGCTTTTGATATGGAAACAAAGACCTTGAACTGCTTCAATGTCTTCAGGATATTTCTGTTTGGTATAAGTTTAGCGTCATTTTTGGGGGGATCGCAAGGCAGCATAAGCCAACAGACGTTAAAACGTTACCAGGGCATATTAATGCAGGCACCTATGAGATTCGACAGGCGGTTGAAGATGCTTGTGAAATAGATAGACGTACGGAGTAGTAAGCCTTATTACGCTCTATGACCTTCTGGTAGGTCGCCTTATATACCTGATCGGGCGTCCGACCAACTGGTGCTAGCCCACCTGATGTGAACGCTTCTCGAAGTCCGTGGGGAAAGAAAGAGAGATAAGTAAGTACGCAAAAGCCTCCAAAGCTTTGACCGAAGATAGACCATTGCTAATAGCGTGGCGGTAAGCAATTATTCAATGAAATAGGCATCCCCTTCGGGGACATACTTTCAACTCAGACGGATAATCGGAAGTAAGTGTCTTCCGCACTGCCTCGCAGTCCTTGACGATACTATCCGCCCGGAACAGTTTCAGATAGTCCGCCTGTCTATGCGCATCTCCCTGCAAAGCAAGAGTTGCAGCTGAGATCGGACTGCTCAGACCTGTACCTCGCTGATCAAGGTAGAGCATCTGATAACCTCGATCAAGAACGATATTGGTCATTGAAACATTTTGCGGAGCTGAGCATCCAAAGCCTGGCCCTCCTTGCAGATAAACAAACCATGGCTTCTGGGATTTCTTGCGGCGCTCCTCCTCTGAGGGGACAGCGGCTGGTTTTTCATGCCTGGAGACTGCGCGACCGAAAATTTGAAGGCTTCCCCTTGCAGGATTGGCATAGTCTTTGGGGACTTCGAAAAGCAGCTCCGAGACTCTGAATTTACCTTTCTTATCGTTAGTTATTAATTGATGTTGTCTCGAGATTGGGACGAATGCGATTTTAAAAGATATGAGGCAGGAAGCCTATGGCGACAGCCTTACCTGGGATCAAATGAGTCTTCGTCTCCAAAAGCCTTGCGGCAAAGATTTCCATTTCGAATAAAGATAGTGCGACCTCCGGTTCGCGATAAAAATGATGCTAGCTAGAAAGTATGGAAAATGCTTCAGCTGGAAGATGTGTTGAAGTAGATGACTCCGCGCACCAACCGAGAACTTGACGATCGATGTTGCCGTCACGCGCACAATCGTTTCTTCAACTCTTCATTCAACTTTACGCCCGACTCCTATGAGCAGCGAATTGCCGATACACAATCCATTTAGCTATCCGATAGGGCTCCTAGCTGCAGCTTCCAGACAAGGAAAGGCAGCCCAGAAAGACGCTTCAAATCAACGACAGCGAAGTTAGACAGGCATTAAAATTTCGCCCAGTGTGCGTGGGCAGAAAAATAATCCTCAGAGACCGAGTTTTTGCAACACAACCACAACTCTTGTCACTTAAGCGCAAGGCAGAAGACTCCTATCCAACCAAGGCTATGATCGTATAAACACTTTCTTGCACCTAAGACTCTCACAGCTCGTTGTGAATTATCACGTGACTGCAACCCGCAGCCTGCAAACGTCCCCTACGATAGGTATTGTTCCTGATTTCAAATCCAAAGATGGCGAAAGATAAGAAAGGAAAGAGTGAAGGGAAGAAAGCGAAGAAGGAAGAGAAGAAAGCAAAACAAGCAAAGAAGGGCGAGAAGAAAGAAAAGGTTAAGGCTTCCAAAGCCAACGACAGCGATGCCGAGGACGTTGACCTCGACGAAGTCCTGGCCGAATTCGCAAAAAAGCAAGAGCAATTTCTCAAAGTCACAGAGACTCCATGTGAGCCTCCGAGATGCCGAGCATCAGCTACTTTTATAGCTTCGCCTGCAAACGACAACGAGCTGTTTCTCTTTGGAGGAGAATATTTCAATGGCGCTTTGGCGACGTTTTTTAATGACCTCTATGTCTATATGATCAATCGGGACGAATGGCGCTTGATAACGTCACCTAATACGCCACTGCCTAGATCAGGGCATGCATGGTGTAGGGGAGGGAATGCAGGAGGAATTTACCTCTTTGGAGGAGAATTTAGCTCTCCGAAACAGGGCACATTTTATCACTACAATGATGTAGGTGAAAGCCTTATCTTTTTAATATCTCTGGTTACTAATATTGCATTAGTTCTGGCGTTTTGAGCCTTCAAATAGAGAATGGACTCGGATAGAAGGAAAGGGCAAATCTCCTCCAGCGAGGTCGGGCCATCGAATGGTTTATTACAAAAATTACATTGTGATGTTCGGCGGTTTTCAGGACACTTCTCAACAAACCAAATACCTGGGCGATCTCTGGCTTTACGATACCCAAAACTACGTCTGGTACAATCCCGCCTTGCCCCTGGCAACGCAAAAGCCCGATGCAAGATCCTCATTCTCCTTTTTGCCACACGAGGGTGGAGCTGTCCTATACGGCGGATACTCGAGAGTGAAAACTACCGTGACAGGAAAGCAGATGAAAGGAGGCGGTCAGGCGCAACGCAACATTCTCAAGCCAATGGTCCACCAAGACTGCTTCTTCCTCCGCATCATCCAGCCACCCGCTGATTCTCCTCCAAATACGTCCCCAACTGTCCGCTGGGAGCGTAGGAAGAAACCTGTTAATTCTCCGAACCCCCCTCGAGCAGGAGCCACCATGACATATCACAAAGGAAGAGGTATCATGTTTGGTGGTGTTCACGACGTTGAAGAAAGCGAGGAGGGGATAGAGAGTGAGTTCTTCAACGGCTTATTCGCATGGAATATCGAACGAAATCGCTACTTCCCCCTCACCCTACGAAAACCCCGAGCAAATCAGCAGCGAAAGGCCCAAGGTGAAGGAAGAGGAGGACGAAGGGGCAGAGGTCAAGCTAATGAAGATGAACTCTTGAGGAATCTCGCCGCACTGCAAACAGGGAAATCGTTGGCTGATGTAGACGATATGGTTGTCGACAGCCGGAAAGACGAGCCAGACGAGAGCGAACAACGGGCCAAAGAAGTGCTGATGGAATTCCCACACCCGCGATTTAACGCTCAACTGGCGGTTCAAGACGATGTATTTTACATCTACGGAGGCACATTCGAGAAAGGGGATAGAGAATTTACTTTTGATGAGATGTACGCTATTGATCTGGGTAAACTAGATGGCGTGAAGCAGATCTTCAGCCGTGAACCCGAGAATTGGCTGGGCAGTGAGGACGGGGATAGCGAGGATGATGACGGCAGTGATGAAGATGACGAGGATGACGAGGATGAAGATGAGGAGGGTGACATCAAGATGACTGATGAGAAGCCTCTTCATACGGAGAGTGCCCGCAAATCTAAACGGGCAGCCTCGATTTCAACCGACGACGCTTCTACATTCGACGATACACCCGACGACACGACCACCGCCACGTCCGTAGATGACAATATGCCCCATCCGCGACCTTTCGAATCCAGGAGAGATTTCTTCCAGCGCACGACAAATGAGTGGCAAGAAGTGCTTATGACTGCGCTGAGGTGGAAGGGGGTTCAACCAGAGACGTTGAGCGTTAAGGAGATTAAAACGAGGGCATTTGAGATGAGTGAAGAGAAATGGTGGGATTCTAGGGAGGAGATTACGGCATTGGAGGATGAGCAGGAGGCTTCTGGCATAGGCGAAGTTATTACGCTTGCGGATAAGGGGGAGGGCGCTGGGGGAGGTGCTGGGAGGAGAAGGTAGTGGTTTTGATACATAGTTTGGAATATGCATATATTTGATGAATTAAAAGTATGGTCATTGATTTGGGATCGTTGCCCACAAATTATGGGCTCTGCTATTTGTGCCAGTATCAACGAATACGTTTTGTCTAAGAGATCTGCTCCAGTCTCAGTGGTAAAGGATAATCATCAAAGTCTCATCTTACTGGTATTAGTCCATGAATATTGTCAGTCCACATATGGCGTTCGATAGCCTCTAGAAAGTCATTTTTAAGCTCATTTTATTCCCGTATCATCTCAAACGCCCTGAGGCTAATACTAATATCTCAATATATCATCCTATTCATGGTATAAAACGCCATCCCAGTGCTTTTTAACTCTCCAACGCCAAAAATAAAATGTCTTGGTCCTAATCCCTTCTACCGTTAAGCACCATACCTTGTAAAGCACTCCTCCTGATGAACAGTCAGGCACTCGAGCGCACACACCTTCCCCCCACACCTCGTACACCTAACCCGTCCCCAATAACCGCAGACCTCACAAAATTGCCTTACAGGTTTGCTCTTATCTTGGTCCGTCCAAGGTCCCTTGGCCTCAGTGTAGCTCAGCGGTGGCGCAGCTAGTAACTGCTCTATTTCTGCCTGCGAAGGCATAGCAGGTATTCTTGATACGAGTAACTGGTCGCTGTCCCCTGGGTGGGGAGCGGGGCCTGAGTCGCTGCTTGAGGAGAGTATAGGTGGCGCATCTGTCATGGCCACATCGGGAGGTGGTTCGGCTTTGATGGGCTCTGCGGCTGGTGTGGAGGCCGAAGTTTTCGATGCTGTTGAGACTTTGCGGAGAGGCGTTGATTTCGACACTACCGGCTCCTTCTTTTTATGGGAACGTTTGGAATTAGGAGTTGCCGTCACTGTTGCCGCTGCCGGCGTACTGGGTGGAGCGGAGACTGGCTGGGAGGTTGTGGTTGTGGCGGACGGTTTGAGGACTTGGAAGTCATCGAGGTGGTTTGCAAACGTCTTTTGGGAGCTGATAATCTTTCGGACGGCGGGAGTGCTTTTATGAGCGCCTGTTATCCATCCATAGATATTAGAATATGTTCTTTACCCATAGCAAATGCAGATTGCATGTTTTGACAGAGTGGGTGAAAAGCTTACCTCGACCGCCACTATCCCGCTGCTTCGCAGGTATTGGGATCGATACATCTTTATGATTCTCTCGGTCTAGTTCCGCGAGTCCTCGTAGGATTTTGGCATCTTGTTTTGCGGTTGTGTCGTGGAGCGTCGCCAGTTGATTTCGAGCGCGTTTGCGGGGATGCAAGGCTGTGAGGGAGTTCTTGACTCCTACATCTGGTACATAGGCCCAGCCTGGAGCGGCGTTGGCTCTGGAATTTGCTACTTCGATCACTCCGAAGTCCATGGTGGTGGCATAAATTCATCTAGATGATGCTGATCCTTGGAGAGAAAAGAGCTGGGGAAGGAATGATGTACATATTGCCTCGGGAACATGACGCGAGGCTACAATATATTATAAATGAAGCATAACTTTAGCTAAAGTGCGACAAAGTGTTCCTAGTACTCAAGGGAGACCAAATGGAAACAGGGGATTTATTATATCATACACATAATGTATTTGACGTGTCGTATCCATTCTCTATGTCTGCGGTGCAATTGCATCTAAGAGCGGGCCTGTTGTACATTTTGTTGCAACGAAAAACTATGAACCCCCCTCCAACCGGAGCTGCTGTACCACCATTCCAACTCCCATAGATAACATGCGCCTTTCGATTACTATCTCACCATGTCGTATACCCATCGCCTCATCTCTAGCCAGCCTCGGCCCTTTTCCCTCATTTCTTCTTCTTCAGCTCAGCCAACTGCTCCTCCAATGTCTGGACATATGCATGTACGCGTTGAACGGATGCTTGCAAACTCTGCTCATCAATTAAATTAGCCCATTATCCACGGAATCCAGGGGCATCAAGAGAAAACAAAGCAAATCCAGCTCCCCATCACTCCGCCTTACTTCCAGCAGCATTGGTACAAGAGCGACGAGTAAACTAGATGCAAAAACGCACGTAGATATCCTCCGTCAACAACTCGTTTGATACCCTATATTCCTCCAGTATGTAGTAGTAGACACCAGCGCCGGCGAGGGTGCTTCCGAGAAGGAATCCGAATAAGCTGTTGAGGACACCGCGAGTTAGTTTACTCTAGTTTTGAGGCGGTATTTAATAGAACATAGGAGCAATTGAACTGACCCTCCGCGGAATGCGCCAACCGGTTTCCGCACAGGTAATGCTGCCGCCGCGTCTGTAAATCTTCGAGGGGTGGTATGGAGGTTGCGGAGAGCTGGAGAAGGGGCAGAGAAAACGCTCCTGCGCAGAGTAGGAGAGAGGACACGCGACGCCATTGTCATGGTTGGTATATGGTAGGAGAATCAAAGTCTTGGTTCCGGCGAGTAGACCCTTAAGTGACGGGAGATAGTTTTGTTGGTTATGTGGAGAGGTGGAGAAGGGGGCGTCGTCGTCGCCCCAAAACTTTGGTGTTGTCGGGCTCGCGGCTCGGCTGCTTGGAAATTGCGAAGGGATGACCGGTTGGAACAATCACACAATTTCGGAGTTGCAAAGAGATATATAAGCCAGATATTAAAATACGGCAGGTCACATAAAATGCAGTATAGTAGAGTCCCAAGAATTTATTTTAAGGCCATTAATTAGTTCACATTGAGCAACGTAGGTTTGTAGAAAGCGCAGGAATTCATTATCCGAGGATCAAAAACTATCAACCGAAAGAGCCCAGTGCTCTAATAGCCGCGATTGTACGATGGAGATAATGTTACAGACGGACGCAGGAATTTTGACCAAGAACTTTTTACCCTTTAGAGCTCATCATGATCCTCAGTAGCAGCCTCTGAAGCCTTGCTCTTAGCAGCCTCTGTGGCCTCCTCAGCGGCACTCTCCGCAGCTTCGGTGGCAGCTTCAGCTTGCTCAGCGACCGATTCGACAACTGGCTTCTCAGCTTCCGCGGCCGGTTCCTCGTAGGTGACCTCGGCTTGGTGCTTGCCGTTCTCCTGAACGAACTTGATGAGGTCTTCGATGCCTCGGTTTCCGCTATAGAGAACTGGGTTCTTCTTGTCGCCAGCCTTGTAAAGCTTGATAGTGGGGAAGCCTGAAATCTCATCGGGAACATCATTGAGGGTAGCGTCAACCTTGGCGATGGTGACCTTATCCGTGAGACCAGCGTCTACGTACAAGCCAGCGAGGATGTCATACTTGGGAGCAAGAGACTTGCAGTGGCCGCACCATGGAGCGTAGAATTCGATTAAGACATCCTTAGCATCATCTAAGACAATATCATCGTAGTTCTTGGCGACGACAATCTGAACTGGGCCCTCTTGTTTCTCTGGGATTGGCTCGGACTTAATGCTTGGCTCGACCTTGCCAGCGACAAATTCATCAAGGAATTTGCCAATGGACTCAGTAGTGATTTCGGTTTCCTGGTCGAACGGGAACTTCTTGTTGTTCACGGTATCCTGGATGGCGAAGGCAGGGAATTTATCAGCCTTCAGGTTCAAGTTGCTGGCGTGGGCACCAAATGCCTTGGCATCGATGGTAGCAAAGCTAACAACTCCTCGGTGCTTCTCAGCAACTGACTTGAGCTTCTCGGAGAAGCTAGCTCGGTCCTCTGGGGTCTCGGCAAAGATGTATGCCAATGGAAGTCCGGTAGCCATATAGCCAGCATAAGTCTCAGGACCAACCTCGCCGATCAGAGGGATGGAGGCAGTCTTGGCAAATTTCTCAATGGCCTCCGCACCGAAAGCCTCCTTGAAAATGGTGGTGGGCTCATCGAAAGTCTTGTAAAGAACCAGGGATGGGAATTCAACGCCCTCGGCCTTAGCCAGATCGGCATCGTTGCTAGCACCGAAGAGGTAGCTGTCACGGAGCTTCTCAGCAACTTCGGTGTATGTGGCGTTAGATGACTTGTCATCGGCCGCAAAGTATGCAACTAAGACGACCTTGTCTTGAGTCTTGAAATCCTCAACTGTGTCTACTGTGAGGATGGAAACGGCGGGAAGTGATTGCTTGGTCATGTATGAGATAATCCTGTGAAATATGATTAGTGAATGACCTAGGCTGGCGAGGGTATTCCGAAGTAAGCTTACCCTGGGGCCTTTCTTGCGCCTGAGTATGGGGTAATATTATCTGCGCCACGGAAGACCTTCAATGTTGGGTATCCCTCAACGCCGAAGCTTTGGCAAAGATCAGCCTCCTCTGTGCAGTCGACCTTTGCGAGTCTAATATTCTTCTCCTTTAATGTCGTAGCAGCCTCCTCATATTCGGGCGCAAGAGCTTTGCAGTGACCACTGATGAGATGTTAGTAATCTGGTAGTGAACAGGTGTCTTCGAGAGGATAAACTCACCACCATGGCTAAGTAGGAAATTAGTCGTTAGCAATGTCAATGTATCTGCGGGGGTCATTGAGAACATACTGCGAAGACTGTAAATCAGGAGTTAGCTGGCAAGTTTGGTAATTCGGGGCTTGAGGAAACTGGGTTTCGAGGGATACTAACATTCTGCAAGCACTAGGTCATTTTCCTTGACGAAATCAGGGAATGTGTCCTTGGTCAGCGACTCGACATCCGAAGCTGAGGCGACAGCAGCGAGGGCTGCACCGATTGCGAATGTCTTGAAGGTCCGCATATTGATTAGATTTCAAGGAGTCGGTCCTGGAGGCAACGTGTTAGCTAGCTTTCTGAAGGACTGCTGGTGCAGAATGCAACGCAGAACATGGAAGCATAGCATCGGCCAGCGTGCGCGGTAGATGGGTCTCTCAGAACATACCTTCTTGTGTGATTGTGGAGGAAAGAATGAGATGGGAAGAAGATCGAGAGGGAAGATCGAATGTGGAGGATTAGAGGAGATGTGGTCCCTTTATTCGAGGCTGGGACCGTCCCGCCTTAGCACCGCCTTCCGGGATCTTCGCCGCCCCCGATTAACCCAGCGCCAATTGATAAGCTGGGCACAACAAGAACAGCGTGTCTTTAACGTACCTAGTTAATACTCCGTACAGTGCCTTGAGCTACTCGTACCGAGGCGCAAGCTAGAAGGATCAGGCATTGCAAAGACACCTCTCCATAATAACCCAGCTGTAAGAAATGCGGCGTGGTTCATCCGAAAGCCCCTTTTCACGAAACGACCACGCTTGTTTCTACTTGGTACATTATCCACCATCAATGACATTATCCATGATATGGCCAAGAGGCTATTGAGGCGTTCCGCCAGCCTGATTACTGTACTATACTCCGTACAGCCATGTGAGCTTGTGCTTGTATATCAAAATTCAAGCTTCGCGACTATTTCTTGAACATGCAATCGTGTCCGCAGCGATGCAGGTGCCACTTGGTCTGATGCCTTCGTTGCATTCGGAGCTCTGCCTAGCAAGCTCTTGCCCAAAGGTAAAGTAATTCCTTTCCTCGTCGCAGATTGCTACTGTTGGATCCTCCACATAGCTAACTGTAAAAACGTATGCACTTGCATAGTTCTTCCCTCTGCATATTGCAAAGACAAGTGGTCGATATCTCTGGCTGTATGCCTCACGTGTAGTATTATCGAAGCCAGCGCGGCCCTGATGTTCTTCGTTCTCCAATTGAGAATAGCCAAGGCAAGGACGCGGCTTCTCAAAATTCATGTTTCAGGGTGTTTTTCTTCTCCTTGCCAGAATATATTTCTATTCATTCTGGCTCTCGGTATCTTTGTGCGAAATGGGTGCAATCCACGGAATAGGACTTGCAAAAGCATATGGCCTACATAATCGGAATTGCCAGAAAACGTTAGAATGTCTGCGAGATGGAAGCTTCTTACCTATTACCACGGCGCGATTGGATGCAGCGCTCAAGTGCGATTATGAATATCCTTTCAGAGGTGCCAGTATTGAAGACAGCACCGTCCAGTCTCCAGTCGTGGCCCGTCCAGGTGTTGTCATGCTCGTTGTCATGCTCGACAGCTAAGGTCCTCCTCTGGCTTCAAGATTGCTCAAAAGCCACGAGATGTCCTGGAGGAGGATGTTTAAGCGTGCTAAACCTGAACACAAGTGGTAGTTCCAATATTACCTAGGCAGTATTTGTCAAAGAAAGTCTGCGGAACTGACTGGTGCAAGTACCTTTTACAATTCAGCTCCATAGCGTTGCACGTCCACACATCTATTGATTTTAAGCCGCCAATGGAGCAAAAATGAATGTTTTAATATGGCAAGTTGTTAGACTGAACGTTGGGCGTGAAAACAATTTGTACAGTTGTGCAATCGTAGACGCTTAAGCCCCGCGCCTTCCGCATATGATCCTCATCGGCGAGACGCCCAGATCAACTCAATGGGGTAGTTCCTGCTGTCTCCAGAGCTGTGACCGGCGACTGACGACGACGACACGATTTTGAGTTTGTGCCGAGATTTCTGTTCCCGCAGATCTTGTCAACTTCCTGCAGCCTCCTTCTCTCTCTCCATCTCTATCTATTTCCATCAACCTTTGTTCTTCCTCCCCCTTTTGCTCTAGAGCATGGAAGATGGACTCCCTTTCTGCCTTTAGCAGCGCTATAGACCGCGAGCGGCCGTTCAGCGCCAACCCCAAGGTCATCAGCTCAAGCTCTTCCCGCGTTGGTGTTGAGAGAGATGGGCCGCGACACGAGCCTCCTGCCCGGCCTCCGAGTGAAATCCAACCCTCCCCCTCTGTTCCGAGAGCTTTGGAGGGTATGCTAAGGACCACAACTGAGACTGGCGATATTGGCATATTCTCTACCAAGCCTTCTCGGTTTCCTCCGCTTAACGGCCCCCGAAGATCTAGCAACTATAACGAGAATGGTCTACAAAAGCCGCAGCGAGCCTTCCAACCATATAACGTCCCATCAGTCGATCACAGGCGACTTTTGCCCTCATATGCCAGAGATACGGATGTCGAAAAGCCATCAATATCCCGGACTTCGGCTGCTCCAAAGTCTGGCCGAGTCTTCAGTGATCCAGATCATAGGTCATATTCCATGATCCAAGCATCGTGTGACCGATTGGCCAATCATCGATCATACACAAGCTTGAGGAGTCAAGTTGAAGCTAGTGACCTTCTTGAGCGGCCTAGATCTCCCTTTGGCTATCCGACAGACGTCAGGCGCTCAGCATTCAACACATCGTCTCCTACGTCCACAAGTGCCGGTGGAGCAGATCATCATCCACGTGCTGATGTTGATATAATCCGACATGTAAGTGCTCCAATCTATTGGCGCGGCTCGACATAGCACTCGACAGACACTTCCCCTGCTTGGCTACTATTAGCCATACGAAGCTTGACTTCACAACACCCAGCACTAGACTTCAACTAACTAAATTTCAATAGGAAACTAGTCACAGCACCTCATCGCCATCTTCACTTTATGCCCAGAAGCGAAAGCTACCAGTTGCACTTCCTCCCGAGGCAAATAGATCCACGTCATCTTTTCTTGGTCGATCAATCCCTCCCAGACGTTCTTCCAGTCCCTTGGTACATCGGAGCGATGGAAACCCTACAAGCTACAACTCTGGCCGAGGCGTCCCAAATCTCATGGATACATCTCCTACACGAAGTACCTCGAGTCGGGAATCGACAACCAATACTTGTCCGGTTAAGTCGCATCCATCAAATGCAACTGCACCCGTGAAGCATGAGTTGCACCCTCCACGCAATGAGTACGCAGAATATTTTGATGTGGAAGACTTCCGTCTCCCGGTGTCAAGGGAACCAGCTCCGCAGTTACGAATGACAGCATCAATTCCGGAAGAACAAGCTATGGTCGCAGATAGGGCGTCCTCGGTTGCCATGGATTTTCCAGATACAGTCGGTGCTCTTAATAGCAATGCTCGCATATCATCGTCATCGGCCTCGATACACCGAAACCCGATTCAAGATATCCAAGATCCTAGAATTGGCAGCTCTGGAATCAAAGATAGCTGGTCATCCCGGAAGGCAGGCTTTCGTACTCCGTATCCACTTGACAAACCTTCATCGAAGAATTCGGAAATTCAGGACGGGAAAAGAGCAGCTAGATTTCCAATCTCGGAACATAGAGCCCAAGAATTGAGTATCGACGCGCAGGAAGCCTTCAACCATGGCTCGTTTGGTCCTCTCACACTTCATAACCCCCAGAGCAGCAAGATACTAGGAAACGAGCAGAGGGAGTATATGTCAATGCCAATCAGCCCCAGTAATATCCGCCAAGGGACCCGCGAGCAATCAATGCCTGGACGTGGACATGAATTCTCATTGCCGCCTTTTTCGGAGGGGAAGAGCGATCAACAACATCAGAAGGATACCCCGGAGAGGTCATCTTCGCTTCGTTTTGCTTCACACCACCAGAAGAAATTGAGTTTAATGGGCCCCAGTCCTGCTGATTCACATGTTGCCAACGCAGTTAGGTTAGAAATGCCCTCAGAGATCTCAGGCCGATCAGAAAGTCCTTACGAAACGGATAATGCTTTGACGGTCACCCAGGAACGAACTCTAGCGGATTCTCCTACAATTCCCGACCACATCATGGGACATCGAGCTCCTCCGCATTACGGTACCGGCAATCATCAGCATCAAGAGAGTGTTCAAGCGAATCCGCAAAGGTACCCGGTGGAACAGATTCACTATCAACAACGGGGACGCCAACTACAACGTGCGCCAGTCCAAGTAGCAAGCGATATGGCAAACTGTGCACGTCAGGTCCCAAGAAAATCTGTTTCGCGTGATGGGACTCCGCTGTTGGCACCCAAGGCTGTTTCGCCAGTGAGACAGCTGGAATTAAAGAACAGCGTTCCGAATCTGATGGAAGCTCTTCCACATATTCGATCTGATCTGCCCGCTACGGAAAATATGATGGCAAACAAAGCAGAGATAACCTACCACTTCTCTCCATTGGTTTCCCAAAGCAAATTATATTTGCCAAAAGCTGCGCAGCCGATGCCCAGCCTAACCAATACTACCCGGGCAGCGAATGTGATGGACAGACAAGATATATCAGAGGTATCCAAAACCAAGGAACATTTGTGCCCAGTAGCTCCTGTTGAAGAACGGGCTGTCGAGGAAGCTGTTCCCTCTCTTCCTAGCCACCCGAGACTGAAGCTCAAGATGCGAAAATCTACTGTTTTACCCCAAGCATCCGCTGACAATTCACAAGCCTGGAACTCCGAAGGAAATTACCCAGGGTCAGATCAGCTCACCATCCTCCAGGCACTTTCACTCCATGACGAGGAGCCAGGAAGCTCGCAGCCTCCCAAGTTCACGCTAAAGGTTACTCGTGCTTCAAACTCGACCCCTGACACAGTCAGAATCAATAGAGATTGCGGAGCGTCTAGACCCATGGTAGGTTCACAGCACCCCTCAGATTTATTCACATCTTCTCATGGAATCGACCACATTTTTCGACAAGTTAGCAAACACCTTCATCCAAGGAAATCAAGTTTGAGCAATAGCCACCAAGGCGGGGAAAATGGCCCAGCTCTAGATTCCCTAGGTGTCACAGATGCGACTGACAAACGGAATCCCATTTCTCCCCAGAAAACCTCTCCGGTAACCTGCCAGACAAGCCCAATCGAACTCCGAAGCCACTTCTCGGATGATAGCTCAGACGCCCACGGTCATCACTCGTTGCGGAAAAGAATTTCGAATCTTAGAGCCCGACTTGCACTCCCTTATTCTTCGAAAACTGGAGCACAGTCATACAATGACGTGAGTTTGAGGCAGAAAAATCGCGTGGAAGATCCTGCTGCTCGATCTGTCCCAAACCTCCGTAGCAATGGACAGTCGGGTAACGAGGAAGCACCATTGCGAGACTCAACAGAACAAGTCCGCTTCCTGAAGTTGAAAGCGAAGTTTTCAAGGTGGCTCAAAGGGGCTCGATCCGCTATTAAAGCGCGTATAAAGTCATTAGGCTCTAATGGGGGACGCGGTGATGGCACAACGTAGTTGGCAGTTATGAGTTGGTTGAGGATTCTCATATTTCGTGGCTCTGTCTCGGGTTTCCATGGAATTCATTAAGATTGCGTACTCCATGTATTTTGTTTTGCGGGATTGATACCATGCTTCGTGGAGGCTGCAGGGGATCAAAAACATTAAGCGCTGGGAACTCTCAGCCGGATAGAATAGCACGTAGTGGTGCCCTTATTAGTGGGCTAGGAGTTTGGCTCAATCCCAGCTCAAAGTGTATTTAGAAGATATCACACCGTCTCTCAACTCTTTCGGTGCCACACCCTTATGAAGTAATGCCCTCTACGAAGGTAAGAACAGACCATAAATTTCAGGTCATGTGACAGCCCCCCCTTTTCCCTTCGTCGCCTACCTTACATCCAAAAGTCCTAAAATTTGAATTTGCATTACTCGTTTTGGCAGTGCTAAGTACATGTAGCGAGCCACTTCCAGCCAGCTTACAAGACCGTACCAAATATTCTAACTAGAATATGCTCGGTATGTATAATGTTAGGTTGAATGTGATCGCGTAGGTAAGATCACGTAGGAGAATGCTTGACGAACGATATTATAATTTAATAAACTTACGATACAATATTCGCTTTATTAAAAATTTGTAGTGCTAATTAACCTACTAGAGTTGCTACGGGTAGAATGTTTAGTTGGAAATGGTATTAATTAGGCTACTAAGTGGGACTGTAAATGGCTACCTAGCTACGTGCAAATTAAAATTCAAAATTAGGAATTTTGGACCGCGCGAGCTTTCTTCCTTCTTTCCTTTTCTCCTTTTTAGTCTTTTTCTTTCCTTTACCCGTTTCAGGTAAGTAAGACGGTAGGTGAAGTCCTACTATGCGATCTCCTAAAGATTCCATTGATGCCTCAATCAAGGTTTTGATTCCGTGGCTATCGCTAGAACTGTAATATCCGCGGTCAGGTATTTGGCAGTCATCTGAGACCCGCATTCCTCGAATCTGGTCTCCTAGCGACTTTAAAGTTCTCCCTGGGTAAGGCTTCTCCGGCCACGGCCAGATTCCAATAACCGCCGAATCCTTCAAAATTGCGCCGACCAAATTCGCGTCACAAAAGAAGCCATTGCTTTGGTTGCAAAGAATACTAGGCCCGGAATATTTAGTGATGAGGTCATGTATGATTGCTATCATGCTCTCAATAACATCTATACGATTCTGTTGTATAGATCCTGGCACGTAGTTAGTAAATTCCGTTGGTATGGCGTCTACAATGCAAACTCACGTATAATGGAAGCTGGGATGTGAGGACCAACATCAACGTTTTTTACCTCATCCTCTAGATTATCATCACTTTCTCGTTCTAATATCTTAGACATATTTCCGAAGTCCTCATCTTTCCGAAACACCCAAAAAATGAAGAGCCATGGGAGTAGCGTCTCTGGCGTATAGCTGCGTGGTAACCCCTCGTCTCTCTTTAAGTTTTCTATCCACGTATCCGACCAAAGTTCGACAGCTTCGTGCATTTGCCGGTGATTGACCGCAACAGCAAGCTTGGATAACATATTCAAGCCGACCGAACGAGGGACTTTCTTTGACAGTCCATGAATAATGTTCAAGAGAATGATCATTACATCTGGGTCTTCATCAGGTAGCGGGACAATAAGGTTGCCTTCAGTTTGAAGTTCTCGACCTTCAGAGAACATACCCGAGCCTAGACTAATTCGAAAGGTCGGCGATGCGAGGATGAGGTGCTTTGATGAGACTCGCATTTGAACCTTTTCAATCCCCGGTTTCGTTTCCGGACTGGCTAAGAAAGCAGATGCGAAACTTTCGGGCTCCCTCATACCATCCACTTTAGTTCCGGGGCTCTCTGCTTGAGGCTCGCATGGCATAGGCTCTGGCTCAAGTATAGGCTCTGGTTCAGGCATAGGCTCTGGCTCAGGCATAGACCAACCTGGGACATCTTCTTGTGGTGGAGGTGCCTCATCTCCCACCCAATGGCCCCGTTTCTCTGACACGAAGCCACCTTCTGGGACACTTTCACTCTTTCCCTCACCTACCACCTCATCTTCCTTACGATAACGTTCGAGTATCAAAAGCACGTCGCCCTCTGGGTCAAAAATGTGTAGCTCCGCCTTCTCTGGCCACGTTCGGGGCCATGTTCGGGGCCAAGGTGTGTCCATATTCTCGTGATAGAATCCTAACGCATGCTTATTTCATACCTAAGGATCAACAGGTGGTTCCAAAGAGTACAATGTTCCAGAATGCTGTGAGTTTGAAGGCCGCCGTGGTATATTAGTGATGAAGTATTGAATTTGCTCGATTGTCAGGCAAAACAGCGCACCTGCACACCAACTCTGGTGGCGGGGTTCACCACTCTCGAGGGGCTCCACGTGTCATGTCGTGAAGTACTGCACCCGCGCACCTCCACGAATCTCCTGGCTTTGTTTCTACTGTAGCATAACATATTATAAATCCCCCCCCCCCCCGACAAGAGCTTAAAGGCGAAATTTAGCAGTGGGTACAGCAGATATGGCTTATTTGCCTGGCAATGATGTGAATGGACAGCTACATGCTTTAGTTGTGAGACTTGTCTAGCCTCTACTAATACTTAATTATACAGTGAAGGTGAATGCGACCTTGGCTGCGCAGAGAGACTAGGCCATGTTCGGCCTTCATTTCATCCCATGGGATATTTCCGGTTCCTAATTGAGTTAGCGTTGTACCGAAGCGAATTCGCTTAATTGATGGTGCCTGTCGAAGCTCTCTGGCCCCCTGATATCAAAGGAGGCTTGCCGACATTGACGAGTTAAAAGATGAAGGTTATTTGTTTTATCTAACAACGTAGTTAATAAATATACAATAGCAAGAAAGGAAGAGGAAGACGACAGGTTTCTAATGCTCCAACTATGAAAAGGATTGATTATGTGGTTATGTTGTAGTGTAGAAATTCTAAACAGTGACAATGAACTGAGCTTGAACAGCATTTAGAGATATCAGAAGTGCAAGACACAACAACGATGGAGAACCAGACAACCCCACACAGAGTGATTTTGAATTCCAAACCACGATCCTTCGCACTCCTTCAACTCTACACCTTTGTCCGAACTGTCACTTGCAATTGCACAACTCATTGCTTCCCTCCTAACGCGCAACAGAGCGACGCGTATTATGGTTAGCTATCTCTAAATCAGTCAATTCAAGCTCCTCATAGCTAGCACTATGGCTCGCAGCGGTAGCAAGTCGCTGTCGCGGTCGCGCTCGTCCAGGAGGACAATCCGACACGGCACATCTTTCCATTATCCTAGGATAGCTTCGCCAACGCCTCCACCCCTTCTTGCTCCTTCCGAAACAACCCTTGCACATTACGATACAACGGTCCTAGGCGACAGCGACGGCGACACGCCGTATCCAGTCTCCGCAAATGGGTTGATGGTCTTGTTCGAGCCAGAGCCAGGAGCGCGCTTACCCCCGCCACCAGTGGAGGTCATTCCCAAATCAGAGCTGACCTTTGGTGTCACAAAGGTTCTCGAGATCGAGAATGGTACCATCACAGAGTGTCCTATTCTTCTCGAGGACTTCCTCTCACAGCCAGTCCCGATACGAGAGCAGTTGACTCGGGGAACTAAAATCAAGAAGAGGATCCTGTTAGGATGGATGAGAGTTGGGCATCCGACAAAGGACCCACGGTTTGCACACCTTCCTAGAGGTCTCAGCAACCGTATTAGAAATAGAGACCCAATTCTCGACAAATTTCGGAGAGCCGTTAAGCTGCCTCAAAAGATTTCAAAGAAATATCGCGCAAAGCCGTACAAAAGACCAGCAGATGTTCCCACACCTATGCTGCGTTCTGTTGAGGGTGCGGCATCCGTTCCGCCACGGCATTGTCAACACCTCAAACCTCACAAGCCAGGAATCGCAGGTCCAATGTTCGACGCTTTCGACAATCCAGCAGGAAGAGAATTCGACATGTTCTTTGAAGCGCCAGAAGAGCGAGAGGCCCGGCTTAAAACTCATGAGTTGGAGAAGAAATGGCGAAAAATGAGCGATGATGTTCTCAAGGAGCGAGGCCGACAGCAGATAAATGATCCATCGGTCGGCAGAGCGCCACCGCTATCAAAGCAAACACTCACTGAAATACAACTCAAAAAGACCCCAGAGCTATTTCGCAAAACACCTAAAGTTGGAGGGCCGGGAGGGGGCAAGCATAATGCGGAACAGGGAGGCCGGAGACATAATGAGAAGGACGACACCAACGTCAACCCTTTACCAAAGACAACTAGTGCCGATACGAAAGCAGTTGTGCGTTGCAGGAATGGTTCGCCACACGTATTGGGTATTAAGATGTTTACCAAGCCCAGGCCCTCCCCAAGAAATACGCCTGGTACGGAGCAGTGGGAGGAAATAGAGCTGAACGAACTCCGCCCAGCACTCAAACTAAAAATCCCCGCAAATTTTCCGGGGCCAGAGTCGCGACCGTTTGATAGTTTCTGCAGCCAGGGGGGGATGGTTCAGCCTGCAGGGGCCTTAGTGGATGAGCCGATTATGGCCAAGGGACATAGTGAGTTGATGGGGAATCTCAACGATTCTGGAAAGCAAAATGAATCAAAAAATGCAGACCTAGCGACAGAATGCGAGCGAAACGAATTAAGCGCCGCGGACTCAGTAACAGCGGGCGAGCAAAATGAATCAAGAGCTGCAGACTCAGTCATAGATGGCAAGCAAAATGAATCAGCAGCTACAGACTCAGCGACAGAAGGCGAGCAAAATGAATCAAAAGCTGAAGACTCAGCGACAGAAGGCAAGCAAAATGAATCAGAAGCTGCAGACTCGGTAAAAGATAGCCAACAGCTGAGCACTACTCCGGGCAAACCTGCAAATAACTCGGGATTCAATGAGTCGATCAATATGGAAACGCCGTCACCAGGAGGACCTGGGAGATTATCAGGGCCAAGTCAAGAGGCTGGCCTCATACTCCCATTTAAACTCACTGGGTTGCTGAGCGCACGCCAGGCAATCATTGAGCAGCGCTTGTCAACTCCCAAAACAACTGATTCAGAGCCGCTGCCATACGACGTAGCGGAACTATATTCAGGTGACGATTGGTCGCCATCTGTGCGAAATGACCAGCAGGAGCCACACGACGTAGAGGATCTATATCCAGCTGACGATTTGCCAACTATGCAAAATGATCCAGAGCCGCCGTCACACGACGTAGAGGATCTATATTCGGCTGACGATTTGGCACCAACCGTGCGAAATGACCAGCAAGATCCACGCCCTGTATCTAGCGGTGTGGCATCAGGGCGATCGCATAGCCGTATGAGGTTTCCTGTGATCTATAACTCATCACAGGTGTCGATTGGACAAAGCGAGAGATTAATGGGCGGCCGAAACAGCATTCTTCGTGGATCGCCGCAAGGAGCTATTGAGCAGATGAGTAGTTCCATAGGTGTGAGTGATGGGGCAAGAGAATATTCTGGTGCAGCTGTTGCCGGCCCGCGCCCAGTACTGCGGGTTCACCCTTCCTCCGACTTTGGACTTCTACAGGCAGAACGCCGATTATCAGTCCCCCGGGGGCTACGATTTCCTGTGAAGCCCAGCCCTCCGGTTGGATCAAGTGAGGAGTCTAATAGTCCACGGTTTCCTGTAAAACCCAGTCCTCCGACTGGATCAAGCAAGGAGTCTCATAGTCCACGGTTTCCTGTGAGACCCAGTCTTCCAAGGGGATCAAGTGAAGGGCTTAATTGTCCACGATTTCCTGTAAGACCTAGTCCCCCAACTGGATCAAGTGAGGAATACAATGGGGGTTGTGCTCTCCGCCGGTCGCGACGTGTGTCAAGTGGGAGAGGCAGATATCCAGTCCGGCCCCAGAGGGAGTCGTCTCTTGGGGCGTCACCGAATACTGTAGCGACCCCGAGCTTTTCTCCAATCGAACATCCATCACCTGTGCATATCGCCTCTGTTCGGAACGAAGGGTTTGATGTCGGCGGCTTGTTGAACGAGCAACGGGTGTCTGATTCACAGGGCGGGTCAACTAGCCAGCTGAGTAGCACGCCCTCTCTCCATGATACGAATCGGGGCTATGGTCCGCCGCCTCCAATCCCAGCAAGATCTGCTTCCAGGCCAGTGGTCGAGCTCGGCCAAGGCGAAGGGCAAACAGGGCAGCAAGGCAGAAGTGCGCGAGGAGATAGTCGACGAGGCGACGGATCTGGGGATAGAATTGAGCGGATGGTTGGTGTTGACGAAGAACAGGCAGACGACGGTGTGTCAGATGTAAGTTATAAATTCTGAATGTGCGAGACTGTGAATGTGAATGCGAGCGCCCGGCAATGTATTGTTATTATTGTATCCAGAAATTGCACAAAATCCACTGTGTCTGAATAGATGGTGTTGATGGTGTTGAACCTGATGAAGCGGAGACCGAGGTGTCGTTGAACGTGCAAGGGTGCTGCAGAACGGTGCTAACCAAAGGTGGCAACACAGGACCTCACGTCTCACGGCCAACTTGAACCGCAAGTACTTGTCCCTGCATCCAACAGCAACGCGAACCTGCAGGAACCAGCCAGTACAAATGAGTCTTTAAGTCCCATTGATGGTCTTGTTCCTGATCCTGTTTCTCTTCAACGACCTGCTCACGTGCCATCCGCTTTTCGATTCTTCAATCGGCACTTGTTAGTCGATCCTTTGTCCAGCATCGCAGCCAGAGCCGGAGTCTCAGTCTCAGTCCCAGTCTCAGTCCCCGTCCAAGTTACAGCCTCAACCGCCGCCACACCCAGGGTTCCTGTCAGCCCTATCCCTCTTGAAGAATACAACGGTACCCTCTGGCCAACACTTCCAGATCTATCGTTCAATCCGCCTCGAGATCCTCAACCTGCTCCAGCTCTTGATCCGGATGTCGCGCCTGTGAGCCCTAACCCGATCTCGCGAGGTTCTCCTCCTCATCAGCCTGAGACGACCGCTGGTCACGAGGCTAATACTGATATCTCTTTTCCCTTCCGTCCGGTAAAGACCAGTAAGGAGTACTCTTCCGCCCACGAACCCAGTCCTCCGCATCCTTTTCCTGTTTTAGAATCACCAGGCCGCCGTCCCAAGGACGCCGTCCAATTCCATCTGGGCACCATGGATAACCTCCAAGTTCGACCAATTGAGATTGGCTCGATCAGGGCAAAAGCGACCGAAGATGCCAGGCAAATGCAAGCGCAGGTCATTGACACCTGCACCAAGGCAGGGAAAGATCCCCCGAAATATGCTCTCATAGAGCTTATTGGCAAGGGCACATTTGGAAGAGTTTACAAAGGGTAAGTGGCTTGTTCATCCTCACATAGAAGTAACATGCTCGCTCCTTGACCTTGATGCTGATTTTGAGCAGGAAAGACATGACATCCGCTGCTATCGTAGCTGTCAAGATCATTGATATTGATGAAAGTGATACCCTTAATCCGCGACTAGCAAATACCTACAGCGAGTTCCTTAAAGAGGTTAACGCGTTGAAGATCCTGAGCGAGAGCAAGGCTCGCAACATTAACCATGTCATTGAAGCTTTACCTGTAGGACAGGCCATGTGGATGATTACTGAGCATTGTGGCGGTGGAAGTATTGCAACTTTGGTAAGCCATTCTGAACGATTTGTCACCCGCACTCGTGTCGTGACCAAACGCTGACTCGATGACAGATGAAACCCACGGCTCCTGGAGGGCTGCAAGAGAAATGGATCATACCGATCGCCAGAGAAGTCGCTGAAGGCCTCAAATGGGTCCACCAAGCAGATATTATACACAGAGATATTAAGTGTAAGTTTTCGACCTAGAGATGCGCGCCTTGCCTATCCTAACGGCCATTAGGTGCGAACATATTAATCACCGAGGAAGGTGGCGTACAGCTCTGTGATTTCGGAGTTGCTGGTGTTATTGAAGGCGCGTCAGACAAACGATCTACTATTATCGGCACGCCACATTGGATGGCACCCGAATTATTTACAGCAGCGCCAAGCTATGGCAAAGAAGTCGATATTTGGGCATTTGGCTGCATGGTCTTTGAGATGGCCACTGGCCTGCCACCTAATGTGGCCAATGGCATCATAAGCTACCCCGAACTAGGGGAGCATCTCAAGAATAATGTTCCGCGGCTGGAGGGGGGGAAATATTCAGACGGACTTCGAGACATTGTGGCCTATTGTCTCGAGGAGACGCCAAGTGCTCGGCCCGCGATTGAACAGGTCCAGCGGCACCCTTATGTTGTCAATACCGGTGGGAGATATCCGACTTCTGGCCTCTCCTACCTAGTGAGAGCCTTCAAGATGTGGGAAGACCACGGCGGCAGCAGAAGATCGCTGTTTATGGCGGGTGGGGCCCAGGGTCCCTCCGAGTCCACCGGGGGTGTTTACGGCGACGAGTGGAATTTCAGCACCACAGCGGTGTTTGACCAAGAGGTATCACAGCTGTCGAGTGCCCAGGATGTCTATGATGTCTACGGGACTGGGGTGGTTGGGTTTAACGAGGAGACTGCTCGGCCCAAGGCCTCGCGAAGGCGTCCTCCACCAGAGGCACTATCACGTCTTCCGCCACCACTTGTAAAGGTGTTTGATCCCAACACATTATCAACTTACGAAGACAATAGCCGAAACCATTATGGCCGGCCTACACCACCCCCAACTTCCGACCTTCCTCTTCGAGATGATTCCGCGAAGATATCTATCAGAGATACAATGATTGACCTTGGTGGCCATGATCCAGAGACCGGTCTTTCTAGCTTCCCCGATATGGACACAATTAGGGCAGGTGGGCGTCCTGTTAACGATGATGATGAATCCTCCACAGGGCACGATTTCAGCCGGCCAGCACTGAGCGATCCTGCCGATATTAACCCTAATCGTCGCACTCAAGATTGGAAATTCCCATCCATGGCCCCCCCAGCCTCAGCAGATCCTGAGGTATCACGATTTCCCTCGACCTACGATCTTCCTCGTCCAGCAGTTACCCCGGGTTCTAATGGTCGGCCAGCTCTTGTACATCACCCCACAGAACCCATGGGTGCCCAGTTTGGTGGGCTTCTAGGATCTGCACAGGCGGCGCCAAACCGCGTGTCAATGGCGGAATCTTTGATCGATCTAGATATGAGCATGCCGGAGGCATATCCGGAGGTTCGCCCCTCCACAGCCAATTCAGATGCTGGATCCGCAACCAGCGAGCAGATGACCTCTGTCAACCCATTTGAATTCGAAGGCCGTGTCTCATTCCAAGCACCCGTTGACGCCCAAGAGTCATCCCACTACCTTAGCGACGAAGGCGCGCTACCAGCAGAAGCCGCTGCACAAACACCCCCTCGAGACATCACAGAGATGTCTGACTTCTCAGCCTCCGATGCAGAAGGCCCGGACCGCCTCATGGGTCCCAATGATGCTTCAAGATATGAGGCAACTGGCTTCTCCGATCCTGAATATATCTCGATGCCTCGTTTAACCCATCCCTTTGATCCAGATGCTGCTATGCCTGGCGGCCAGAACGATCAGGCATATACCATGGCGCACTTCCCTCAACTACCCAATCCTCCATCTGCAGCAGCCCTAGCTGGCACAGCATCGCGCGAGGAGATGATCAATGAGGTATCAAGAGCCCTGGGCAGTATGACGGCACAGTTGGAAGCTTTCAGGGTTGTATATGACTCCCGCGCGGTGGTCCAAAAGCGAGGATCCCGCAGAAAGTGATAGGTGGCGTGCCCTTTTGTGAGTGTTTAATTGTATTTTTATGTTAGATTATTTTGCCTACCAAAAAGGTGGACGAGAGCGAGGCGTTTTGGTAAGGGGTAGGGTGATGATAAATGAGGAATGAAATTGCACCAATTTACTAATAACAACCTCCTAATATTTCATTGACATTGTGCTGTAACTGGACATTATAACAAGGTCTAAGGTGACCTGTTTTGAGGTCTCTAGAATATAAAGGGTAATTAAAGTATTCTCCCCCTTATTACAGTATCCCATTTGTAGCTTGTTGACGTCCACCTAGACTTTCGTACTATCATCATTTTTACCCCCAACCCTAGTAACCTAGGTACAACCCCTTTCCTTGCTGCTCCTATTCGTGCGAGTCGAGACACTCGCACCGGCTCGGTAACTCTCCCACGGAGGGTGTGGGCATGTGGGCGGAGACGCCGCCACTATCGACCATAATCTTGCCACGACCTCTTCGGCAGAGCTACACGACAATATCTTACTAGTTTGGCTCGGGAGGTGTTCAGTAAAAATTAGGTTGGATTAAGTATACCTAGGGCTATATTCTCACTAGCTTCTTAGCACCTATGAATACAAAAGCCATTGTTAATTAAAACTAGATTGTCATTTTTCTTTGTGCTGTCGATCTCAAGTAACAGCAGACTTTGCCACACATCATACACTCTTTTAATTAAACGTTTCTGCAGCTTGAACGCGGCCTGGCCGAGCCTAATGCTTTTGTAGAGTAGCAAGGCCTCCTCGTGTATAGTGGCCAGATACCCTCCCCTGAGCCAGAACAATTTCAGGTGGTCCCTATGGTGCCGTCAATCTATCTAATTGTGTACGATCGACCTATAACTATTCTTATCAATAATTAAGGGGGGGCTTGCTAAGGAGTAGCAATTCTTGCAAGTCTTGGGGGCTTGACAAATGTTTCCAGAGTTGCCTCTGAGATTGTACTTCTTGTAGACTTCAGTGTCCTAGCCTTTAACATCGATAATTGCATTACATTCTCCTCTTATGATTATTCTCTTTTCCACCACTCCTGAAATTCATATCTAATATTCTCATTTGGCTATGCTACAATAGTATATCCTTGGGGAAGTACAAACGCCGCTCATTAGTTTATTTTACTCGTTGATGCTCGAATATTTTATTAAGAATATGATATTAGGTCGTAGGTCATTCTCGAGAAACCATCGATTCCCCGACATCTCCAATTATGTTTGTAATCTTTCAAATTGGTCATGTAGCTCTATGCTTTGATATCGCATGCTCAGCCTAAAAGCTCGCCAAATCTCCTGAGAGCAAGGCCTGGTACTTCTCAACACATTCCCTAATCCTAACCAACACCCCAGCTGCTAGAACCCTCACTTTATTTTCCTCTTCCGCACCACCACCCCCGCTAACTCTCCCAAAGACACCTTCGACCCACTCCTGTGTCTCAAGTAACTGCCGTCCATGTGCCTCAACTAGCCCCCTTTTATCTTCGTTAACCTCCAGCAGCGTCAACATCGCAAAGAGCACCGCTTCCAAAACGCCCACTTCCCCAGTGGTCTGGGCCCTCAAACTCAATAGTAAATCCCAGAACTCAGACGTCATCTGTGTCAAACTGAGAGTATTTGGTCCACTAGCATGCATCAACAATGCCAAAGTTTTGAGGAACAGGGCAAGTAGGAAAGGATCAAAAGTTATGTTTTTATGAGAAGAGGAGCCGTAGGCTTTTAAGTGAACAAAGAATCGGCCGGTCAGCGGGAAGAAGAATCCGTCGGCGACGACTTTCGCTAGCGAATTTGTTATGGGTTTCTTGCGGGCGGTTTCAACAGCCATGCGGGAGGAGAAAGTGCGGGTTTTGAGGATTTGGGGGCCTGTGGCTTTATCTGCTAGGGAGGCGGCGAGTGGTGTGATCATCGTGTTTGTAAGTTGGGCCGACAGGCTGTTAACTGCCGACCGGTTGATAGCCTTGTGTTTTGAGGAGGAGTATATTGCGTGCATTTTTGAGTCGAGGGTTTTCGATGGGAAGGATGGCTGGGTGGCAGCGGGGAGGGACTTGCTGGCTGTTAGGGCAGCGTCTTCTTTTCCAAAGCCAGCCAGTTCGCGGGCTCCGAGGCCTAGGGTGGTGAGGACGGACGATCGTTGGGATATCGAGTAGTCGCCGTCGAAGAATGTCTTCGAGTACCATTGACCCATTTTCAACGGAAGGGCGATGAGGACTGCAATCATGCCCTGTAGTCGCATTTCTTGGAAATCCTCTATATCGTACTTATCTTGCAGGCCTACAAGCAGTGTAGCTAGCTCTTCAGCATGTGAGCTGACTTCTGTTCCGAAATTCGCTTTCCTCCGAATGAGTGGCGCGGCTGTGGACAGAGCAAGCTTTTGGCGGTCGTAGTTATCGATATCCCTCAGATATGTGATCAGATCCCGTATATAGACAGGAGCGGTAGGCTTATCGCGGGTAATGTTCGTAGGATCCTCATCTGAATCATCTGGATCAGACTCCGGCTTGGAATATGGCACTAAGTCGTCATCATCAGAAGCTTCTTCTTCTTCTTCATCATCTGTAATCTCTTCTATAGATATTATCTTCGAGTAATCGGCTGGTGGCTCGGGTTTCTTCTTTGCTTTAGACGCTCGAGCAGATTCTTTCTTTGGCCGATGAGATATTTCTCCCGACCTTAGAGAGTCAAGAGACCCAACAGTATCAGCCACATTAACCAAACTTTTATACCAGTTAGCTTCGGAGGTGCTCATTTCGTCCACCTTGAAATCCATTTTACTCTCCCCCTTATCTACCAGATTAGATAATGCTTCCCCAACTGCCATTCCAAGGAAACGAGCACGAGGTGATGACGCAGCCAGTCTATTCGAGACAGCATTAAGATGTGCTCCAGATTTCATCATCATGGCAAGACGGACTGGGGCTTTTCGGTGGACATATCCTGCAGCGAGTAACAACACTTGGGCGTGGACTGGCCCAAAATTAGCAAACGATTGGAGTTGGTAGGAATTCTGTGGTCGTACCGTCTTGCTGCATTGAGGAAGTGTGTCTAATATACAGTTGATCCCCAAATTGCTGAATACTTTTGTCCAATACTGCCTCAATATCTGATTTGTCTTCTGCAATACATGCTATCACTGCACGTCGAATTGCAACTCCTTCCCCCATACCCGCCCCCGAGGAGTTCGTCAACCAAGCTATCAGCTGGTTTCTCCTCGATTCATCGCCAGTGACTAGTAGTTTAACAAGGCCTGACGCGCCAGAGACGATTTTGGAGTCTGGGTTCCACCAAGACGTATCATCTTCCGTTGTGATAGGGGATGATAGATGATGCTTTGATATATCTTGAAGGGCAGCGTAGAGTACATTTCGTTGCTCAAAAATAGATAGGTTGTTTAAGAGCCTTGTAAATCGACCGCCCTCGTCCTCACTATCTAAAACCAGAGAATTTAGAAGTTCGTGAACGATGGTTCCTAAAGGTGTATTAGAGCACAGTTTGGGGGTGATAAGGCAGGAAATAACTTGCCTATATTTCCCAGTCGGAAAGATTTGTTGAGCAGCTCACTACAGCATTTCCATCCATTCTCAGAATCCAGGGGCAGATCTTCTATCCAGCATCGGATATTGCTAGTCAACCAGGCGGAAAATAAGGCGCCGTCTGCTATCCAGGACATCCCGCCAACGCTCTTGTTTAGATCATTGACCACATCTTCAGCCTCAGCGGCAATACCTAAGATCTTCCCGCTTCCCACTAGGCTAAGAAAATCATTCCAAACAACTTTCTTTTGGCTCGACGAATTGGAGTTCCAAATAATAACCCATATTTTCCTAACAGTCTCGTCTCCTTCAAGTACAGATTCCAAAGCCTGGAGAATAATAGTCAAAGTACTTTGGATATTCGAACCACCTATTTCCTGCTTACTTGCCTTTCCAAGCTGGATATATCGCTTTAGAGCAAGCAAAAGCGCATTCAATCCCGTGACGCTTCGAAGACATCGAAGGAATAGCTCGAGATGAGGTGAACGATTTAACTTTTTCTTCTTGCCCGTCTTTGAGCCCTTGCCCTCTGGTACGTAGAGAACGCTCCAGTAATTTGGTAAAATGCCTGAAACAAGGGCGTTGACAAGCTGTGAAGCAAGGGGGCTTGGAGATGTAATGTCAAAATCTACGTCGGGTTGCACGAGATATTTTAACGTTAATATCAGAGCGTCATAATCTGGCTCATTTTTCAACACCTCCAACGCCTCTGCTGGGGTGTTGGCTTGGAATGACGGCTTTTCGGTAGGCTCAGGTGACTTGCGCACTTCGACGAGAGCATCCTCCTCTTGGAGATCCTTTCCTTGGTCTTGAGACTTGTAGATGGTACTCACAGGAGTGAGCAGGCCTTCCATAGCTACATCCGGCTTGAGGTCGAGTGCAAATGTAGATCGGTAAGACCGCAAGACTTAGGTTTCTAGGAAGTACTCCGTAGAGCGACGGAAAGGCGAGTTTCAAGGGCACGGGCCACTGGACAAAATACAATATGCAAGGCGATAACGATAAGGCTGTACTTGTGCCTGTCGTAAACACCACCGCCTCGTCAACCTCCAGCAACAACCAGAACAGAGAGAATACTCAAAATGTCGCAACCAGTCATGGTTTCTGGACCCATATCACCTCCCAAATCGAAGAATTCAAGATGGTATACATATCCCTGCGCTACGCAGAAATATCAGGACCAGGCGTCAGGCTTACTCTCGTTGTTCTACTAGGACCTACCTCGACAATGTCCGCAGGCACCCAGGACCATTCACGGGGGAGACCTTCAATTCGAGCGAAGAGGCGGTCAGCTTGATGGACAATTTAAAAGTCCTGTGAGTTTATATGAAGCTATCTTCGGCCGCCTCTGCTAATAACTGCTCAGAGTCATGTTGGTAGCCTAGATCAATGTCCAACAGTACAAGATGCTGACGCACGAACAGCGGCGCAGGAGGACTTGGGTGCGAAATATTAAAGAACTTAGCTCTGTCGGGATTCAAACAAATACATGTGATCGATATGGGTGGGTGATATCCGCATATAAAGCTGTGCAGTCTTCTAACAGCATCCAGACACTATCGACGTCTCGAACCTCAACAGGCAGTTTCTCTTCCGAGCCAGCGATGTTGGGAGCTCGAAAGCAGAAGTAGCAGCGAGATTTGTGGAAAAAAGGGTCCGAGGTGTTTCGATTACACCGCACAACTGCAAAATTCAAGACAAGGACGATGACTTCTATATGCAATTCAACATTATTGTTTGTGGATTGGATAGTGTTGAGGCTAGGAGGTGGATCAATTCTACGTTGGTAAATTTAGTCGACGATGAGAATGAGGACAGTCTCAAGCCCCTGATTGATGGAGGAACAGAAGGTAAGCAGTTCTTGGTGTGCAGCTCCAAAGCATATGTATTTAACCGGGAAATAGGGTTCAAAGGCCAATCCAGAGTTGTGTTCCCAACGATAACATCCTGTATCGAGTGCCAACTAGATATGCACGCCCCCAGGGCGGCTGTTCCGTTATGCACCTTGGCAACAATTCCCCGTCAGCCTGAACACTGTGTAGAGTGGGCTCATATTATCGCATGGGAGCAAGAGAATCCATTTCCAACACTCGACAACGATGACCCCGAACATATTACATGGCTATACAAAAAGGCTCTTGCCCGAGCACAAGAATTCAACATCCAGGGTGTTACCTACTCCCTCACCCAAGGCGTGGTAAAGAATATCATCCCTGCAATTGCATCTACAAACGCCATCATAGCTGCCAGCTGCTGCAACGAAGCTTTCAAAATTGCAACGCAAACCAACCCGTCTCTTGGAATGGCAGAAAATTACATGTACTACACCGGCAACGATGGCATCTACAGCTATACCTTCGAGCACCTGAAAAAAGATGACTGTCCCGTTTGTGGAAATCTTGCTCGCGATATCGAAGTCGACCCTAATTTTACACTTCAAGAATTCATCGACTCGTTGGCCGAAAGAGCAGAGGCACAGTTAAAGAAGCCTTCGATCCGGGCTGATCGAACTTTGTATATGCAAAGTCCCCCTAGTTTGGAGGAGCAGACCAGGCCAAATTTGGTGAAGAAGATGGGGGAATTGGTTGGCAATGGCGATGAAATTGGAGTTACGGATCCTTCGTTGGGGGCAGTGAACTTTAAATATAAGGTCAAGTTCTCGAGGGAGTTTAGGGGTGCAGTTGTGAAGGAGAATATAGATTAGGAAAGCTTAAACGGCCCTTAGGTAAATTATCTCACACAATAGACACCTGGAAAGATTTGATATAAGCCGGAATTCCTGCACTAAACGTATGAGGGTACAAATCACGACAAAGTCGCCTTTAATTTTCATGAGAAGCGTGAGCTATCTAGCTAGCTGCAGAGCCGCTGTAAAGCCATCCAACGCCTATATCCAGGACGCCTGCAATGATCATAACACATACCAGCCCTCTCTAATTATTCGGCATAGACGTCAAACTCTTCTTAAGCGCCTCACACTTCGTCCGCAAAACCTTGACCGACTCCAAGAACAACTCATCACTATCCCACTGTCCCACACTCTCGATGCCGAATATGAAGTGATCCCGTACTCTTCCTAGCTTGACCTTGTCCTTGAATTCCTCATGCCGTAAACACTCCCTACTGACAGTATCTTTCATAGGATCAACCACAACAGCCTTCATCTCACCGTCATGGCCTTCATAACCACTCCCCTCCTGTGACGCCTCCTTCTTTGTGACCGCCTCTAGGCCAATAACACCCTCGGGGAAACACTTCTGGAATTTCTCCGCGTCCTTTCCAATTATTGGCTTCAAGATCGTAATCGTTGGCAACAGCCTGTAACTGGCTGGGGCGACTGGCGAGAACTTCGCATGGTCCGAACCAATCCCTTTAATAGCATGCATCTCAACATCAATACATTGGCCATGCCGTAATTTCGCAATAAGGATATCAGGATTCGTAGTTACGATGGCGTCCTTCCCACTGAAATGCTCCCCCTGCCTGCCAAAGGGCTTGAATACAATATCCTTCGCGTAGACGTGAGCGTGATTGTATGCCTTGAATGGGTCCGTTTCGCTCCTCGAGACACCTTCCTTCCTCGTACATTCGATTTGGAGAGAGAGCACGACAGTATTATAATCGAAATTCGTGCTGCCCGCTTCTTCGCCCTTCTCTGGGTCCGGGGCTTGCCGCCATTTCAAAAAATCGAGTAGGCCACTTTTGCCACCTTTGAAAGGAACCAGGCCTAGTCGCTGTGCAAGGACTTCGTCTTGGATGACGGAGGTGTTGTTGTATACGAAGACATTCTCGATAGCGAGCGAGGGTATCTCTGCGATGAGAATGCGACGGAATGCGTTGGCAATCGAAGCGTCTATCCCAATCAGAGAGAAGGAGGCATCGTTTAGGTTATTATAGTGGAATTTGACTTGGAAATTGTCGCGGAACTTGCTGATGTCCCAGGAATGGTCTTCGCCGGTCCAGTGGCCTGGGTAGTCGATCGATGATATATCTGTGACGGTTTCTGTATTGATGCCGATAATCTAGTATTCCCACATTAGCCAATCTAACAGGACAGTCTTTTGGAGAGAGCGGCTTACCCTCCGGCTGTCAAGATACTCTTGAGAGGGTTGGTGAGGCGCCATTTCTTCTCATGTTTATCAGGATGATGGATGGCGGGGTCTCTTTTCGCATCGCAAAATAATTTTTGATATGAGTATCCCTGTCGCTTTGGCGGACGCAGCTCTAGCCAATCAGCATCCAGATAAGCTTGATCGTAAGCTCCGTACTAGCGTATCCCGTGACTTAGCCCTTGGTATGGTGAACTGATCAATTCGTAAAGAGACGACGAAGCCAACGTTAACCCCTCGGAATCAACCAGGACGCTATATGCCTGCCTCGACGCAGCTCAATTGAAGAAGCTTGAATCTGGTTGATAAGAATCAGCTCTTCTGGGTCGCTGATCACAATGGCACCATCCCTCGCCCGGCTGGCCGGCCACAGCGCCAAACGCCTCTGTCTGCGACCCGCCCTTCCACTACCGCGAGCTTCACGGGCATTCTCTTCTGTCCCCTCTCGAAAATATGCCGAGCCATACGAAGGCACGAGGCTAGTTCCCACTGACGAGACGTTTTCGCAAGCGGATACCCATGATGCCAGCAATACTACGCGTGGGGGTGAGGGTATGGAGCACAGGAAGATCAGACATTACACCGTCAACTTTGGGCCTCAGCATCCTGCTGCCCACGGTGTGTTGCGCTTGATTCTGGAGCTCAATGGAGAGGAGATTGTGCGATCGGATCCCCACGTCGGGTTATTGCATCGTGGTACGGAGAAATTGATCGAATATAAGACATACCTCCAGGCGCTGCCGTATTTTGATCGATTAGATTATGTCTCTATGATGACCAATGAGCAATGCTACTCATTGGCCGTGGAAAAGCTACTGAACGTTGAGATTCCGGAGAGGGCTAAGTGGATCAGGACACTATTTGGAGAGATTACCAGAATATTGAACCATTTGATGTCTGTCCTGTCCCATGCAATGGATGTTGGGGCACTTACACCTTTCTTGTGGGGATTTGAGGAGCGTGAAAAGCTTATGGTAAAGAAGTCTATGTCTATATTTGAATTGAACTATGCAGCTAAGACCATCGCAGGAATTCTATGAACGCGTTTCAGGTGCCCGGCTCCACGCAGCCTATGTACGTCCCGGTGGTGTATCCCAAGACCTCCCTGTTGGCCTTCTGGATGATATCTATCAATGGGCTACCCAATTTGGAGATCGTATCGACGAGACCGAAGAACTTTTGACGGATAACCGTATCTGGATCGGACGAACGAAGGGGATTGGAGTTGTTTCTGCCGCTGAAGCTTTGAACTACTCATTCACTGGTGTTATGCTTCGAGGATCGGGTGTACCGTGGGATATTCGCAAGAGCCAGCCTTATGATGCTTATGATCAGGTTGAATTTGACGTTCCGGTTGGTGTTAATGGCGACTGCTATGACAGGTACCTATGCCGGATGGAAGAATTCAGGCAATCGCTTCGTATCATCCATCAATGCCTGAACAAGATGCCTCGTGGACCGGTCCGGGTTGAGGACTATAAGATTTCCCCACCCCCTCGAGCAGCGATGAAGGAGAATATGGAGGCATTGATCCATCATTTCTTGCTGTTCACGAAGGGCTATACTGTTCCCCCTGGAGAGACATACTCAGCTATTGAGGCACCAAAGGGAGAGATGGGTGTGTACCTGGTGAGCGACGGAAGCGAAAGACCATACAGATGCAAAATCCGAGCACCGGGATTTGCACATCTGTCAGGGTTCGATCAGATTTCCAGAGGCCATTTATTGGCGGATGCGGTTGCCATCATCGGTACGATGGATTTGGGTAAGTGTTTCTCATCTAATTTAAAGTCAAACGCTAATGCAATGCAATGCAGTTTTTGGTGAAGTAGATCGATAAAGAAAAAAATGCGAAAAGCCAGATAGAGGGGTTGATTTTGATGTTGTACATTGGTGGCAGAGATGGGCGCATATTCCCTTGATTGTACAGTCTAGTTTCTCAGCTGAGTTAGCATGCCAGCACACAGCCTTAAAAACTCAGAAGGGATGTTTGCAACTTACGGAAATGCGTTTATTCGGAGCCGTGTTTGAACATGTCGCTGCTGACAACGATAGGCTGGCTCGGAATGTCGGGTTCTTCAAACTCAGGAAAAAGGTCCTTATAACGATGTTCACCGTCTGATTCGGACTGGGTCCTGAATGGGCGCGTTCTGAGACTCCTACCATTGGATACGTGGCTTGGTCTTGGCTGATGGCTCGGTCCTGGCTGATAGTTCGGCCCTGGCTGATAGTTCGGTCCTGGCTGATGGCTCGCTCCTCGTGGATCGCTTGAGAGGACTGGTAAAGTGTTCTCTGTGTGCCATTTCATACCTGCACCAGGCTGATAGCTTTGCCCTGGCTGATAGTTCGGTCCTGGTGTATCGCTTGGAAGGACTGGCGGGATGTTCTCCTTGAACCATTTCATACCTCCCCCGTTCGGATGCATACTCAGTTGTCCCATGTCCACCGAGTGGTGCTGAATAGATCCTTCCATAGCTGCTGGAGGGAATGGGCCCCTGTATCCTTGCTCTGGATGGCCGGCAAACCATCGAGTCTGGTCATATCCATATGTTGGCTGGGTTTCGATACCGTATCCAACATATTTGTAGGCGGCCCTCCTGGCTGCCAGGTCTCGTTCGTCTCGCGGGTTAGTGCCCGACCAGGCTTTGTTTTCTGTCTCCGCAGTTGCATCAAATCTTCCCTCATCGGCGAATTTGTGTTTACCTCCATAAAGCTGGCTTCCATGCCCGCCTTCTTCTCCCGCTCCGTTGCCCGCGTAGCTATTACCGCTCTCCATTGCCTGGCCAGCATAAGCACCTCCGACCACCTGCTTCCCCTTTCCCTTCCTAGCCATCAATCCTATTCTCTTCTCCACATCCTCTCCCTCGAAAATTGTGCCACAATCGCACTCCTCCCCACTAAGATGCCATTGTTTGTGCTGTTTCTCCTCTTCCAAGACCCGTGCGTTCCATACAATTCGAAAGCATGCGTGGCAGTATCCGTCGGTAAAGACCGGTCGCTCAGCGGGATAGTTGCAAATTGGAAAGGACGGGTCGGAGGCCGAAAGTGGGCATTTTCGGAGATATGGAATAGAACAGTGGCCGCACTCATAGCCGAAGAATTCTTTAACGCACATCTTTGTGGTTAAGGCGTAAAGGGGTTTGGAAAGTGAAGCGGCGGCTCGACGGATGCCTACGTATACCTTGAATAAGTGATAAGATGTTTGGAAAGTGAGGCGGCGACTCGCCGGATACACGCGCAAAACCTACGTATTGATATAAGATGTTAGTGACGATGCTCTTAATAATAGTGCAAGAAACAACTCAAGCTGTATTGCTATAGGTTGTTTCTTCCTACCTGTCACTGACGTTGTTTTTGTTAAAGGTTGGTGGAGGGAGAGCTCTGCTTTTATAGTGCAGTGATTGTGTGAATCAGTGAATGCCCTTGAGCAGGAGAATGAATCAGAGAATGTTCTTGAGCAGGAGACTCAGAGTGAATCAGAGAATGTCCTTGAGCAGGAGTGTGAATCAGAGAATGTCCTCAAGCAAAGGGACGAACCACCACCACTGTGAATGTACTGAAGCGAGAGTAGACTCTACCTTTAAGACTATTTCGCAACTAGGTCTTGCTGTCGTCTTGGTTCCAGATTGACCAAATTCTTTGCCTATTGGTTGTACTAGAAGCTTTAGCCTTGTTAAATCTGGATAACTTATCAAGCCGTCAATTTCCGGGCTGTATCCCAGATGTTAAGCCAAATGTCCAATATTGTCTTTAGTTGCGATATAAGTGCCTTTGGCAATGGAGGTGGCCGTACATGAAGTCTTGGCTATTCTTGAACCTCTCAAGTGCGATGCAGAATTTCATGCGAAATGGGGGAATAAGGAAGCCACTTGCGATTATAATATCAATAGTGCTAATATTGGTTAATGATACGTTGTTTGCATGTAGCAAGTTTGTGCGACCTGTCAAAGGTATGCTATAGAATCACCACTTGTGCCGCTGTCGTAGTTGATTAGCTTGCTTGCTTTCTCAAACGCCCTGCGAATAGGGGTAATAATGATATTGATAAGATTTCTGTAGTAGAGACGTTAGATATATGACACAAGGAGCGAAAAACATCTAGAATCTTTAGAGTGGTAGTGCCGCAGACATGAGATTGGGTTTACTTTGCAAGTAGGGTGGAGTAAATGTCTTTGCCTTGTGGCCAACTTAGAAAATGTCCGAAGTGAATATTCAGAAGATAGAAGGTACAGTGGTAGGGGTACTGAAAATGCAAGTCGCACAATGGCAGAAAAGAGGATTCAGGGGAAAAGAGGATTCAGGGGAAAAGAGGATTCAGGGGAAAAGAGGATTCAGGGGGAAAGAGGATTCAGGGGGAGAGAGGATTCAGGGGCTTGTGTAGAAAGGTGGTCTTTGACGGGATTTTTTGAGAAAGCATCTCATTGACCTCTAAAGACGTAGTGATTGATGGGGGTTGCGGGTGGTTGGGAAAGTGGGAATAATGACAGTTGGAGTCCGCGGAGGAGGGGACGCGATAAAGGAAGTGAATCTGCTAACAACTAGGGAAATAGGGATACAAGTACCATTTGAAGTGCAGAGCTAGTTCCTAGTAGTCAGGCTCTGTCTCAGCACACTGTTTCTTAAACAGGGGTTGAGATTCTTTGGAAGAGTAGCTATTGAGGACGAAAGGTTGTTGAAGAAGAACAAGATTGAAGAGAGTTTGTTGAGGAGCGGTTGTTGGAGATAGGTTGTTGGAGATAGGTTGTTAGAGATGGGTTGTTGGAGATAGGTTGTTGGAGAGATGGAGAGAGAATGTTTGAGAGATGGGGAAAGTTTGTTGGAGAGATGGAGAGATGGAGAGGATGTTGGAGAGATGGGGAAAGTTTGTTGGAGAGATGGA